CCGCCGTCACTCGCTACTGGTTCAGGCTGCTCGGCGGGCCCGCTGTATTGATTTCGGACCGCGAAGGCGCCCTCGATAGTGATGGGGCGCGAGCATGGGCTTCTCGTTGGCCGTTGAAGCTGAACCTTCGTCCTCGAGGCGCTCATGCACGTATGGTGGAAAAAAGGCATCGCGAACTATTGAGAAACAGTTGCATCTTGTTGATGAGCAGTGTGCACGTGATGGAGTTCCTGTGCCCGACATGGCAATTCTCGATGAGTGTGTGCTGGCCAAGAATTGCATGATCGCCATCACTGGCAATAGCACGCCCTACAAGGCTGTGTTTGGCCGCACCATCCCGATGCTGACGGATCTAGAGCCCGTTTCTGCTGCGGCACTGGAGGACATGGATGACGGTGTCGACGGGGTCTCTCGCCATATTTATCGGCTCCGTGAGATGGCTATTGCTGCTGTCTTGAGCTCGTCAGCTCATCAGCGCATGGATCATGCTCTGCAATCTCGCACTCGCCCAGCGGGTGAATGCCAGAACCTGCAGCTGGGAGATCTGGTCGACATCTAGAGGGACCCGTCGAACAAGGACGTGTCGGGCTGGCGAGGCCCTGCGACCATCGTGAACGTCAACCGCATCAGTGAAGGCGTAGTGGATCTGCAGTGGCAGTCTCGTACAATCAGCTGCCGTTTGGCTGATGTTCGCCACGCGCTCACCATGTCCGTGATGGTCGCTACCGAGCACTTTCGACAGTGCTGGGAGCTGCCCTTGACTTTGGTGCAGGAGTTTGCCGAGAGTGTCGAGAAGGGAGCTGTCACTGTGGCGTGTGTGAGTGCTTCGACAGGCTGGAGGCTTTCGAGACAGTGCGTCAAGTATCCCATCATCTTTCATGCCATGCTGCATGTTGCACCGTGTGACCTACGACTTCAGGGTTGCAGCGGTGGCCGTCTAGGACACGGTGCCATGGGCCTCGAGTGCATGCCAGGTGTTGACGAGACGCTGCTCATCTCTTGGAAGTCGGGCTGTCCGCTCGATTGGCATTGGCACCGAGCTCTTGGCACTCTGCGACTGTCTCTTCATACGCTATTCGGTGACGGTTGGCAAGATATGGTTTTCCTGCAGTTCTTCATTGTTTCGCTTGAGGACTTCGAGTTGGCTCGGCAAGCGGTTCCTGATGTCCCACCCCTCGGGTGCATGTATGAGCAGTTCGATCCTGATGGGGGTGTGCTGCTCCCTGGTGCTCGTCGGCCTGGACTTCGCCGACCTAGTAGCGAACGCTCTGACGATGAACAACAGAACAAGGTTTGCCGTTTTGACCGCCAGGATGTTATTGTGCTGCCGGGTGATCGCAAGAGGCAGCTTTCTGTGGGCTCGGATGGGAGTGGCAATCTTTGGCGTCGCGTTGCCCCCTGTCTGCCACATGTTCCCAACAAGTCGTCGGAGACTGCAAGAGTTGCTGATTCGGAACCGAGTGCTGGAGCTGATGGCGAGGATGCAGATGCATGGGACAGGAAGCCGCCTCTGCCGCCCATGTGCACTTTGGTGGTCAGGCCCCGGCGGCGGAGCTTGAGGCCGCGGACCTGGGCGAGCCCATCAGCATTGAGTTCCCTCGCCGGCAGGCTTGGCGACTTGGGCTCACTCCGAGTAAGCTAGCTAAGAATCGCGTGGTGGTAATGAACGTTTTCAAGACCCAGGCCTCGCCGGTCATTGAGCGCGACGTCGATGACCTCTCAGCCGCAGAGACGAGGAAGCATCACGAGTTGGTTGTTGCCGCCAAGCTGAAGGAGCTCAAGCGTTGGGTGTCTCGTGGGGTCATTGAGCGCATGAGCAGAAGGACGCCGACAATCGCATCGACTCGCGCTGGGTGATCAAATGGGAGACTATTGGAGGCCAGCGAGATGTTAAGGGCCGTCTTACCGTCGAGGTTTCAAGGGCCGTCAGAAGCACGAGAAGGACCGGATGCGGGCGGCTGCTGGGTTTGCTTCTCGCTGAGGGAGCGATCTTTTTTATTGCAGCTCAGCATGGCTGGGCGTTGTGGTCGCTCGACGTTTCGATGGCGTTCCTCCGTGGCAAGGCGTTCCAGGAGCTCGCTGAACGGTTTGGATTCAAGATGCGCAGCCTCTTGTCTGACCTTCCACCTGATGGCGCTGCGTTGCTGACGCAGATAGAAGGCTCTGAGAACTTTAACGAGGTCATGGAGACGTTGAATCTGAAGAAGCTTGGTTTCGGCACGAATGATGCCCCATGGGCGTGGCAGGTTGACTCGTCGGACACATTGGCGGAGCTGGGCTTCTTCCCGACGGAGGCTGACCGACAGCTGTGGCTGCTGTTCGACAACTCTGTGCTGCTGGCGCTTCTTGGCGCTCATGTGGAAGATCAGGAGGATGCTTGTAATGATGAGACGCGTGAGTGGATATTCGATAAGCATCGTGAGAAGTGCGAGGACGTGACGGTGGGCATCGCGCGGTTCGAGTGCGCTGTCATACAGCGCTCCCGAGATGAAGCAAACAAAGCCCTTGCGATAGACCAGAACCACTACGTGCCCCAGCTCCGGCCGATCATCGTGGCGTTGGTTACGGGCAAGCCTGATGAGGAATGGTCGATCGCGCGTTGCATGGCATGTGCTGGAGTCTTCTCGGTGGTGTGGCTTGGCTTACTCTCACGCGAGCTGATATTGCGGTGTTTGTTGGTCGGTTCCAGAGGCGCAGTCAGACGGTTACGGTTGGTGACATCAAGGGCCTCAACATCTTCTTGAAGTGGGTCCAGAGGAAGCCGTTCAGCGTCAAACATGCCCGACTGGAAGCACTGGTGTGTCTGTGAGTTATCGCCGATTCTGCTTATCGTGCCGACGATGATGACTGTCTAGCGGTTCGAGCTGCTATTCCGGTGCTGATTGAAATCAGGATTGGCATTCTTGGTGGGTCAATGCATTTGCTTGACTATTACAGTCGCAAGCAGCCGAGAGTGACGTGCAGTGCGTTCGGAGCGCATTTATCTAAACAGCTGGAGGCGTGTGAGCTGGGTATGGTGCACCGTGGTTTCTGGCATCAAGCTCTTGCAGGAGCTCGTGGTGCGAGGGATCTTCACCAGGCCGTCAACTCCAACATCATTGAGATCGGCCTCTATCTTGTGGGTGATGCCCACGCTGTTTTCACGGCTATCACTGCCAAAGAAATTGCAATGCCAAACGATCGGAGTCAGTGTTGTGCGGTTCGTGCTGTGCGAGATGGACTTGAGCGTGGTTCATTGACTGGATTACTCAGATGTAACACCAGAGATATGCTTTGTGATGCACTCACGAAAGGTGGAGTTGCTCGAAGTGCTGTTGTGGAGGCTTTCGGCGCAGGACAGTGGCGCATGACAATTAAGGATCAGATGCGTGTGTGGCCTAAGCCCAGTGTGTGCTCAACGCAGGGAAGTTCCGCCTGGGGAGACTGCATGGGCCCATGGCTTGTGCTATATTTCTTGCTATGAGTTGTGTGCGAGTGCTGTCTTGACACCTGATCTTGATCTTGTTACGCGAATGCCGTCTTGATACCTGATCTTGATTTGGTGACAATCGAGATGTTCGTGGACGACCTGTTCTTGACCAGCCTCTCCCACTTGTACTACGTCGATGTCATGTTGCTGGGGAGAGGCGTCTGCGACGTGGAGATGGTGCCAGAGTCGAAGAACACGTTCCTGGCCCTCTCCTGATGTCCCTTCCCTGCGCCCGTGGCCGCCTTGGCCCAGGCGGCCAGCCAGGTTTCACATTTGTACTGTTGATGGTGCGCTGTTTGGCGCTGCTGTGAAGATAAAACGTTCGATATCGCTTCCGAGGCCGACGCCGCACCGCTGATTCGATCCCCCCAGGGATCGCAAAAGAGGCCCCCCCAACACACTCCAACGCATCATGTTCCCAGAAAGCTGTCCGGGGACATAGTTCATCATGGGCCCGAGAGTTTCTGGAGGTCCCGAAGTACCCTCGCGCTACCGGAGAGTTGTCTGGGAATTTGATTGGGAGCATGTCTGATCGCCTTCTCGCGGCCCTCCGCGGATCGTTTCGCACGAAGTTGCCCCAAGTGCCCTCTTGAACCGACGACGAAGACGACGAAACGACGAAAACGAAGACGACGAAGACGACGACGCGCCCCAAGAGGCAACGACGACATTACGACGACGACGACGACGGCACGCCCCAACAGGCTGCCCAAAACGCCCCCCAAACCCATGTTCCCAGAAGGCCTTTTGGGAACCCGATTCATCAGGCCTCCACCCCCCTACGTAGCCATCATCCCCGAAAGCCTTCTATAATGCAGAGCGACATGCATGGACTTCTCACTGCCCATGATGCGTTCAGCGTTGTGTCCACTTACTTCCCGCTCAAACCACTTGTGGTCCACTGACTTCAGTGGAGCAGTGAACTTGTCAAGGCCTGGGACCTGCTAGAACCAAAGCGCGCGCGAAGCGCGCGCGATGGTTATAGTATTATATGTATGTATGTTTGTTTGCATGTATGTCCGTATGTATGTATGTCTGTCTGTATGTATGTATGTATGTATGTATGTACGTACGTACGTACGTACGTATGTATGTATGTATGTATGAATGTATGTATGTATGTATGTATCGCTCTACGGGTGGGAAGGGGCAGGATGGCAGATCAGGCTAACACGCACCTAGCCTGACCCCCCCCTTTCTCTGCCCCCCCATCGCCGCGTTCGGCTCCTCCCGGCCCCCCGCTCCCGCTTCCTCTCCCTCTCCATACCCACCTCCCTCTTCATCTCCTTCTCTCTCCTCCTTCCTTCCTCTCCTCCTTCCTCTCCTCCTCCATCCTCTCCTTCCTCTCCCTCCTCTCCCTCCTGTCTCTCCTCTCCCTCTTTCTACCCCCCTCCCGCATCTTCTCCTTTTCCCTCCTCCCTCATCCTCTCCCTCAGCCTCCCTCTTTGTCTAGCTCCTTCCCTCCGTTGCTCCTGCCACCTCGCCGTCCTCCCTCGGCGTCCACTCTGCCCTGCGCTTTCCGCATCCTCCCGAGGACGTGAGTAAGAGAAGGCCATGGGAACCTGCTGGGAAACCAGCAGCACCGCGTGGGAAAGCAGCAGCACCACGTGGGAAACCAGCAGCACCACGACGTCCTCCTCATCGCTCGGGAAGGCCAGGGGCAGAGTGGCTCGAACGGATGGGGTCCCGCCTGGCGTTGCTTCTCCTTGCCCCCCTCGCTCCCTTCCTCCCTCCCTTCTCCCTCGTCCCCCCTCCTCCCTCCTCCTTCCCCCTCTCCTTCTTCCTCCTCTCCTCCCCTCTCCCCGGAACCTTGAACTGGTACCTCCCTCCTCCCGTGTCCCTCCTCCCTCTTCCCTCGTCCCTCCTCCCGCCTCCCTTCTCTCCCCGGGGGCTCCTCTGCTTTCCGGGCCGTCTGCCCCCCCCCCTACTTGCCGCGCCGAGAGGGGCGGGCCTGGGCCTCGCGCGGCGCCGGCTTCTCCCGTGTCGTTCGTCGACGTGTGCGTTTTAAAGAAGCGTACTGCTGTCCTCCCTTCCCCCCCCTCTCCCCCTCTCGCTCCTCGGCTGCTCGCCTTCTCGCTTTCTCGCCGGTCCTGGTTCCTTGCCTTGCCCGCGTTCCTGTGTCGGCCCGCCCCTGTGGTCCGAAGAAGAGTACGCTGTATTTTCCGCCTGTGCTCGCGCCCACGCACCGCCTGGTGCACGGCTTGTCAGTCAGTCAGTCAGTCAGTACTGTTTGAGCACGGCCCGATCCACTGTTCGACAGGAGGGACAGATACACACAGACGCAAGCAAGCGTCGATTTTCATCACAATAATTCTGGATCCCCTTGCCCGATGCACCCTTCGTCAGGAGGGAACATATGGGAACACATTTGCCGGGGTCTCAGGGCGGGATTTATTGTGGAGACGTGGTCGAGCTTCTACTGCAAGGAATCCTTCCTGGATCTCGTGTCCAGTTGTTTGTGCCTCTTTGGGTGCCTTCAGATCGATGGCCACGACGACCTCACACGGTGGTCAGGACGAGGAGGAGGAGGAGGAGGAGGAGGAGGAGGAGGAAGAGGAGGAGGAGGCGGGGGAGGAGGCGGAGGCGGAGGAGGAGGAGGAGGAGGAGGAGGAGGAGGAGGAGGAGGAGGAGGAGGAGGAGGAGGGGGAGGAGGGGGAGGAGGAGGAGGATGAGGAGGGGGAGGAGGTGGCCCAGTGCAGGGTGGTGGGGTTCCCGGCGGCAGCGGCCCCCGCGGGCCGGGCGGGGCGGCGGCCTCCTCCTCCCCGCGTCTCTTCCTCGTCGTCCCCTCGCAGACCTCGACTTCGCCTCCTCCCCTTGCCTGCCGCGCCTTCGCCTCCTCCTCTCGTCTCCCCCTCCTCGCCTTCGCCTCCTCGCCTCCCAGTCTTCCTCGCCTCCCTCCTCCTCCTCGCCCCTCCTTCGCCCCCCCCTGCCTCCTTCCCTCGCCTCTCGCCCTCGCACCCGCCTTAGTCAGGAGGGGGAAAGACACTCACAGACACAATGAATCGGCGACTCCCAGGAAAATATAGGGAAATATGCGAAGTGGGGGGGGTGGACCAAACTCCCGAAGACGGGGAAAAAGATGGGGAATCCTGGGATCAGTGTGTATTTATCGAAGCGTCCCTGGGTCCCTTCACTGAGCCCCTCCCCTCCACGGGGCTGGTCGGCGTCGGGGTGGCTGCCCGAGAGGTCTCGTTGTCGGAGCCCGGAGGGGTGGGCACCCGGTCCAGAGGCAGGCCTCCGAGCTCCCCCGAAGCTCTCCGAGAGTGCGACGGGGCTCTGCCGGAGCTCGACCTCCCCAGCGAGGATGGGACGGGGCGTGCAAGAGGAGGAGAAGACGAAGACGACGACGAGGAGGTGACGAGCGATCGGGATAGGATGGTGATGAGGAGGATCAAATCGGCGGCGAGCGAGGGGGGGAAATGAGAAGACGAGAAGGCCCGCTCAGAAGGCGGCGGGGCTTCTCAGAGGGCATCGCGCCTTCTGAACAGTTTGTTGTGCCTTCGGGAAAGGCTTAGAACACTTCTCAGAAGGCCGGTGGACTTCCGAGCCTTCTCAGAATGCTCGCCCCTTCTTACCCCCCGGGCTCGCCGCCGAATAACGCTCGTGGGTCTTCACTGAGCCACAGGTACCCTTTAACTTTGGACTCCCGCGGATTTCCTTGAAGTTTTCCCGCAGGGGTAGGGTGTAGGGTCAGTGCACTGTCGGCCTAGGACTGCCCTTGCCCTCCCTTCCCCATCCATCATTTTCTGATCAAGCGAAGCCTTTTGAGCCCTCTCCCAGGGTGCCTCCTGGCCAGCTTCTCCAGCCACGTCCAGCCGTGGCCACGAGGACCCTCGAGGGTGCCATGCAAAACGTCGGAGCTCGTAGGTCGTCTGGGCCCCTGACCCTGCCTGCGCGTTCGTCGTCGTCTTCCTGCTTCCCCCGTCCCAGCGTCCACGCATCGGCGCGACCACAGTGTCCGTCGTCGTCAGCGTCGTCGTCGTCGTCGTCGTCGTCGTCGTCGTCGTCGTCGTCGTCGTCATCTGCCTGCTCGTTCTTCGTGCGTCGTCTCCTTTCCCTCGCTGGACGGCGCAGCCCGGCTCTGGCCCCGCGTTTCGGCGCGCGTGCGCGCCAGCAGAGCAGCTGTCGCTGGGCTGGACTCCTGTGCGCAGAAGTCGCCCTGCAGGCGACAGCCACTCAGAGCTCGAGCTCCCGATCCGCTGCGGAGCCCTTTGCCCTCCCTCCCTCCCTCCCTCCCTCCTTCCCTATCCTCCTCCCCCTCCTCCTCCTCTTTCCTCCTCCTCCTCCTTCCTCCTCCTCCTCTTCCTCCTCCTCCTCCCTTAGCTATGTTCCAGATCCAGATGGGGATGGTGCTAGTGAGGTGAGGGGCAGTGCGAGGCAGTAGCAGCTTGCACGTGTACATGCGTGTCTTGCTCTCCCTCTTCCCCCTGCTTTCCCGAGAGAGTGCCCCTTCCCTTCCCCCCCTCCTCCCCCCCGCTCGACAACTACGACGTGCGGTGCTGCGACTTCCAGTGGGGGCCGCCGCGCGCTGCGCGAGAGCAGAGGAGGAGGAGGATTAAAAATCTTGATTTTGTTTTTTTTCTCGGCCCGCAGAGTGCAGCGAGCCAGCAGAGTGCAGCGAGCGAGCGTGGCCCACAGAGGTTAGCTCGCTCGCTCCCCCGATTTTGTTCCCCCATCAGTGCTTGCTGAGTTTGGGGTTTGGGCGTGAGGTCTGGTCCCAGACAGTGCTTGCATCGGTGGGGGTTTTGAGGCTGCAATGGGGAGCCCCTGCTGGAGCGGGGCCGCTTCCAGCAACAGCTGACGCGGCTCCCGCGGGCGGCGGAGGTGACGATACCCACAGTTGCAGTAGCTCACTTTCCTAGGGGCTAGATGTGTTGTCAGACATTGACTCATGGCCCCCAACGGCTCCACCACCACCACCACCTCCTCCTCCCTCCCTCCCCTCCCTCCTCCTCCTCCTCCTCCCCCTCCTCCTCCTCCTCCTCCTCCTCCTCCTCCTCCTCCTCCTCCTCCTCCTCCTCCTCCTCCTCCTCGACGGAGGGCCGCGGGGCGGCCCGCCCGAGGTCAAGTGCGCCGAGTGCGGGCGGAGCTTCCGCGGCGTGGCGATCAGCAGCAGGGCCGCGCAGGCGCCCGGCCCCCCCTCTCGCCGCGCCGCGGCGCCTGGGGGGGTCGGCTTCCCCCCTCCCCGGCGCGGTGGGTCGGCGTCGGGGGACAAAAAATGATCGCCCCGGCCGGCTCTGCCTCGGCGCGCGGACCCCCAGAGGCCCCAGCTCTTCGGGAGGCCCCCGCTGCGTCCGCGGGGCCGCGCCCGGGACGAGTGGGTCGGTCCCCGGCGGGAGGAGGTCGAGAGGCCCCCGGGGCCCCGCGCGTCCCAGGGGTGGCTCACGTCGGCGCCTCTTGAGCAGACCGACGCCGCCCGTCGCGGCGGAGGGGGGCGCGGCTCGGCCGCGGCCGAACGTGGCGATCAGAGGGGGTGGCGTCGGATGTCAGGGCCGTTCAGCGAGCTCCACGCACTGGCCGCCCGCACCGTCGGACCCCGCACGGCCTTTCTGCAGCGGGCGCCTGGCGGGAGGTCTGCTCAGCGGCCTCAAGCGTGGCCTCCCCTTTGCAATCTGTGCCCTTCGTCCCGACCTCCCCGCCCTCGCCCTCGTCTTCCGCCGCCGCCGCCTCGTCGCCGTCCTCCATGTCTCTCTATGCCCCCCGCACCTGTTACGCCCATTCGCCCACTGACATAGTGTCGCGCCCTCTCGTGCTGCTTCCGGGTCAGGTCCGATCGTCCCGACCACATAATCGGAGAGCAACTAGAGGAGCGGGCTCATAGAGGAGTTGGATGAAGGGTGGCTCGCGCAGGCAGGACAAGTGGGGTCGTGGAGGGGAGGAGGGGGGCAGAGGCGGACCCCATTTCTGCAGGATGCCGTCGAGAGGGCTTGGCTCACAGAGGCCCCCGAGGCCGCAAAGTTTGCCGACGAGGAAGTGTCGCCTCCGCATCTGCCCGTTCAGCGCCTTCCTCCGTGCGCAGATCGAGTGCCCTGGGTGAGGAAAGGCTGCGTGGAGAGGCTCCGGGCGCGGCGCGGCTGTGGAACCACCTGCGCCCCAGCAAGCGGCGGATGAAGGAGGGAGGAGGGAGATGGAGCAGGATAGAGGACGGATGGTAGAGGAGGGACGGAGGGGGGGAGGGATAGGGCGCTCCAGCCACCGTGCTCGGCGCAGGTCTCAGGGCTCAGGAGACGGGGGTCAATGCAAACGGGGGTCAGCCGGAGCGTCAGCCGGAGCGTCAGCCGGAGCGCCAGACCTTGCAGGATCCTGCAGGGCCAGGGGCGCACTGATCCGGGCCTGGGTGCAGGATCCTGCAGGATCCTGCACGATCTTGCGCAGGATCCTGCAAGGCCTGACTGACCCTGGTGTGGATAGACCCGGGTCAGAAGATCCCGGAAGGTCATCCGACCAGTGCGCGGGTCCTCCACCTCTCCTCCTCCTCCTCCTCCTCCTCCTCCTCCTCCTCCTCCTCCTCCGCCCTGCTCCTCCTCCTCCTCCTCCTCCTCCTCCGCCCTCCTCCTCCCTCCTCCTTCTCCTCCTCCTCCTACTCCTCCTCCTCTTCCGTCTCCTTCCTTCCTCCCTCCTCCCTCCTCCCTCCTCCTCCTCCCTCCTCCTCATCCACCTCCCTCCCTCCTCCGCCTCCTCCTCCTCCTCTCCCTCCTCCTCCACCTCCTCTTCCTCCTCCTCCACTCCATCCTCCTCTCCGCTCCCTCCTCCTCCTCCTCCTCCTCCTCCTCTTCCTTCTCCTCCCTCCTTCTCCTCCGCCTCCTCTCCTCACTCCTCCTCCTCTCTCCTCCTCCCCTCCTCCTCTCCCTCCTCACTCACCCTCGTCCTCGTCTTTTCTCCTCCTCCTCCTCCTCCTCCTCCTCCTCCTCCTCCTCTTCCTTCTCCTCCTCCTCCTCCTCCTTCCTCCTCCTCCTCCTGCTTTTCCTCCTCGTCTCGCACCCGCTTGGGCCCGTTCGGGCTCCAGCGCGGCGCCTCCGAGAGCCGCCCGCGGTGCAGTGAGCCCACGATCGCCAGCATGCGCCTTGTGCTCGGCCAGCGCGGCCACGGGCCAGCGCCGCTCTCCGCCCGCGTGTTGGCGCGCGGGCTGAGCCGTCGGGGAGGACGACGAGACTTACAGTGGAGACCCATGCCAAGCAATACCCTGCTTGCTTCCAGGGTGCCCTGGGTTTCTTGGGTTTCGATGGCTTTGCCACGGACATCGTGCCGTTCCTGCACCGAAAATCGATGGACGTCCTGGGGTCTCAGGGTTGGGTTTCTTGTGGAAGGTTTCTTGTGGACTGGCCCCCACTGTAAGTCGGGCATGTCCCTCTACAGGAGGAATATTCAAGAATAGTCACAACATGCCAGGGGACGATGCTGTGACAATCTTGAGAGTCTTTTTCCCATCTCTTCCCAAATCCGCCTGTAGGAGGACATGCCCGACCTAAGGCAAGATGCGAGAGGCGTGACGAGAACAAGGACGCGGCTCGCCCGCGTTTAGATCGCAGCGCGCGCCCGAGCAAGCTTCGGTGGGGAAGAGGGGGGGGGGGGGGGCGGACACGTCCCAGGATGCGGGGGGGGAGGACGTCGACCCGAGCACCCCGCTCGTCGCCAACATGGGGTGCGGATGTCCCCCACCATGCCCGAGAACATGCTCTTTCGCTATCCTGGCCTGTCGGCGATGCATTGTCGATACCAGGCCGATATTCTTTTGATGGGCCACTTTCCCATCACTACTATGAGGTAGCAGGAGGAGGAGGAGGAGGAGGACCTCCCCATCCTCCCTCCTCCCCCGTCCTACGTGTGGCAGTGGTGGTGAGAAATCGGCCCATCACTTTTTTTGTCACCGCGTCGACCTTGGGCTCGGACTTGTGGAGGCTTCGGGGAAGGGCGGGCGCCTGCCCTCCCTCTCCCCCCCCACCTGGGCCTCCGTGCTCGGAGGTGCGACCTCGTCGGCGCAGGCTCGGCCTGCGCTCGCGCCGACCTCTCGAAGCGGGAGCTGTTCCGCACACACACACACACACACCGCCCGGGGGATTGATCTCGTGAGGGTTTTTGTATTCCGTGTTTTGCTTTTCGGGGCCGGCCACGCCACATGCCCGGGGAGCGTCCTCACCCCTGAGCCGCCCGGCCCTTCCCGATTCGCCTTCGGCCGCGTCCCTGCTCCTTCCTCCTCCTGCATGGTGGCACAAGTCGGCCAAGCGGTACCCCCGTCCATGCCATTCATCGCCAGTGCAGTCACCCTCTGCCTAGCCGCCGACGCAACAACATATTCTGTGTTTTGCCGATCGGCGCGGGACCTTGCACCCCCCCTCCCCCCCCATATGGAGTAGGTCTTGGCTGTTTTTGGCGCCTGTCTCGAGCAGGTGGAGCCTCCCCCAGAGGACGCACTGCCGCAAACCTTCGCATTCAGCCGAGGTCCGGAGCCAGACCCTCCCCCCCTCCCCTTCCCCCCAAAGTCGAGATGCCGCATAAGAAAACGCTCACCATCGGGGATCTTGGCGGGCGGGTGCTCTGGGCATATTCGGGCACCCCGTTGCCAAAGGATATCCATGCATCCCACCCGCCGAAGTCTCAGGGCATCGGCTCCCCAATCGGTGGACGTGGATCACTCCCCTCCTGTCGGCGGCGCGCCCGAGGGGAAGGGAGAAGGGGCGGGCCTTCTCAGAAGGCCCCGGCCTTCTGAGGAGTTTTCTGCGCCTGCCCCGAAGACATGGAGAAACCCTCAGAAGGCGCGAGGGCTTCTGAGAACCCCCGCCGCCTTCTCAGAAGGCCTTCTCCCTCTCCAAGGGCGGCCTCGAGTGCGCGAAGTTCATTCGCGCTTCGCGCTTCGTGGCTCGGCTCCGGTTCCTCATCCTCCCCTTCTCCCCTGGGAGGCGGCGCGAGAGCGCGAAGCTCTCCCCGCTTCGCGCCTCGCGCGCCGCGCGACGCGCGAAGTTGGGCGCCCTGGCTCTCGCTTCCCCCCCCCATCGGCCCGCTGCCGAGCTTCGTTTTCTGGTCAGAACTCGGGCCTCCGGCGGCCGTGCGGGACGCTCCCGGCACGCTCTCCGCGAGGCGCCCCCCCCCTCGGAACGCTCTCGGCGGGGGCGCAGCCGCTGGAGCGCCTCCCGAGGCCGGGCAGCCGCCGAGCACCGACGAGGACGCTCTCGAAGACGCCTCGCGCCTCGCGGCCGAAGCTTCCCGCCCTCGCGGGCCCAAGCCCTCCCACGCCGGGCCCCGAGGTGGTCATGCCGCCGTACTGCAACCAGTGCTGGAGCGCTGGCTTCCGATCGCCAGCCCCCCGCCCCGCCGCCGCTGCGGCCGCCGAGCCGCGGCCGCTCCCGCAAACGGAGGGTGGGAGGGAGCAGAGGGCGGGGACCAGCAGGAGGAGGAGGAGGAGGAGGAGGAGGAGGAGGAGGGATGCCGGAGGAGGGAGGAGGGACGGGGAGGAGGAGGAGGAGGAGGAGGAGAAGGAGGAGGAGGAGGAGGAGGAGGAGGAGCAGGAGGAGGAGGAGGAGGGGCAGGAGGAGTCCAGTCACACCGGCAACCACAAAGGCTATCGCCGATCGACATACTGCAGGTCACACAACATTTGATATAACACACGGCGTCCCGCACAGAATTTAGATGTGATCGCATTTGCCGTATTACACAGTGAATACCAAGGGAGTATAGCTATCATGCGAGTTCAAATGATACGTTTTCATATCATGTTTCTAGGCGTCACAATTTTTCTGACTGCGCGGAACTGATTGATCAGGAGCTTTACAAATATAGGGTCATCGCCAACGTCGCCCGGCTCATACCTGCAAAGGGAGCCCGCATGGGGCATACTCTAGGGAGAGGCGCAACGGGAAAACACCAACTGCCACGCAGACTCCCGCAGCGACCAAGCAGACACCAACATCTGAAAATATGACACATCGACACACGTTCACGGAGACGTCGACCACGCAACCACAACTAAGTTGAACATCGTCCAGCGACATATTAGGTTCAGCTGTATGCGGCTACAGCCTGCCTCATACCTGGCAAGGCAGCCCCACAGGGCATCTTTCAGGGAGAGCCAACAGAGCCAGCCACCAAAGGTCCATACCGCCAGACGCATACCTGGCAAGGGAGCCCACAGGGGCATGCCTCAGGGAGAGGCCAGTGGCGCACGACCTATTACGACAATACGGACACTTACAATGAATGCAGCCCGCTTCATACCTTGAGCGGGAGCGTACAATGCATGCTTCAGGGAGGAGCTACATAGGCGTTTTAACTATTTAGCAGCCTGCAACTATCTGCTGTTACAGATGTCGCAGCGTTCGGGCGCCACTATCCATAATCCATATCGGCTTCATCATCACATAGCATATGTGGCAGCTTGCAACACACTGCCACTTACTAGCGGCCCACCAAGCCGCAGCAACTAGGCTCAAGCCTAGCGATGCCACTCATTGCGCCGCGTATTGGCACCTTTCAGATTACACTTGTCATGTAGAATGACCGACTACATGCTCCCTACAAGCTCGCAGCGCACGACGCAGTTGCCGTGCATGCAAATTAGTTGTCGAAGTCGCCGCGTTTTGTGTACACCCGTCGATGGGGATTCCTACGGTTTACAGATGGAAGGGCGACGACCAACTCACTAAAGACAGGAGTCAACATCTTGAGCAGCAATTTCGTGCAACCTCCACTACGAGGACGACGGCAACGACGACCTTCCACCACTGTTCAAAGTACGAGGGCGGCATGCCTTCCAGCCGCTAGAACGAACAGCGACTCCAGACCAAGGCGACCCAATCTCGGCTACTACGCTCAGAGCTCAAGCGCAGCAAAGCAGACAGGACGAGGTCAACAAAGCCAGCCTCGACAAGTTCTTCGTGTGAATATCATTGCGCCCTGGGTACGGGGGCATGCCAGTCCCGACCCTATCGAGGATGGGCGCGCACTGTCCACGAGGGCCACATCGCAGTGGCCTACTCGACCGACATCCGCCAGACATTCTCCCAGCTACTGAAGGCTCTACCGGAAACTGTGTTACGCGAGTGGAAGGGCATGAGCTCCCACGCCACTGTCTACATTCGCTGTGCAGAGGGGCCTCGTGGAGTTCCATTCTACCGACGAGCTGATTGCCGCTGCGATGCTATCGACCGCGACATCCGCCGAGAAACCGTCGTCGACCAACCATGGGGCACGCTCGTCATCGGCCGTTACAAGGTACGTCTGAGACAGCCCGTTTCAAACAAGTATGGTGCAGTGAAGGACTTCAAGGAGACGCTGTGCGAACTGTGCGTCCAGCGGCGCGAGAAGCGCTACGAGTTCCCCATTGGGAAAAAAAAAACACTTGGGACCATGCCAGGTAAGTCACCACGGGCTGCGCGTTCCCCAGTTCCATGGCCATGACCAACTCCGAGAGCCTACGTCGCCAGGAGCCACTGTCGCGAGCGCCGCGGCATCCTCGACCCCCCCCCCCCCCCAACGTGCTAGGAGCTCCTCTCGCCAACGCCCGACAACCCAGCCTGGCCACAAATCATCGGTGGACGTGCACCCCGACCAGAAATCGGTGACCCGTGACCATGAAGCCAACGCGACCGAGCCCTCGCCAACAATGCAATTGCCTCGCCCACGCGGCGCGGCGCCGACAGCCCGCGCTGCGACTTGATCCACGAGCAGTTCGCGCAACAAAGAATGCAGCCGTGGAAAATCTTACATGACCGCGAAGACAGACTCCGCGAAACTTCTTTTAGCCATGCGCTGCCGACCCCACCGCGACAACATTCGCGCCGCAACTCGACTTCAGACCCGAGGGGCCGCCGACGCGCGAGGAAACCATCGCCACCTACTCATGCTTCTACATCGCTGCCCAAGGCCAAGCTGCCAGGGCCAATCGCGCCAGCCCACAACCATCCACGACCCTTGGTGACGCAGACAGAGACGCAGCAATGTGCGCTGCGATGTGCGACTCAGAAGAAGAGGGAGGCTGCGCCGACGACGGCGACGACTACGTTCGCACTCCCGCGCCCATCTTTCTCGCATCATTGCCGCCCCACGAGGGCCGCGACGCGCGCTGCCCTGTGGAGTGAACAGCGCGCTGTGCCAAAGACAGAAGTGATGAGGACGACTGCGACGAGGACAGCTGGCGCTGTGCAGTCTACTACAACGGGGCAAGCCGCGCGTGCACCTGCCGATTCTCCACCGATCTCCTCGCGTCGCCAACTTGGCACAGGTGCCTAGAGAAGCGCAGCGACGCAACCTTTTTTCACGACGCTCTCCAGCAAACCCTTTCTCGCTCGCCGCTGAGGCCCGATCCGCGTGCGACCCCGCTCGCCGCGTGGTGGATGCCGCCGACCGAGCAGGCCAGATGTTTGAAGCCCAGCGACGCAACGCCAGCAGACACTCGCCCAACTCCGCGGCGACCGCGTCCATCCTGCCAACCGCGACCTCCATTAGGAAACTACATGAGCGACTTTGCAGACCATTGCTGACTCAATGAGGACTTCAGAATGGCAGTCAACATCGCCAACGGGCAGCTCCGACTACAAGCATGCGCGACATCGCCAATCAGGCCATACTCACGGTCTTACAACGGCTGTGCTCATGTCACGACTGCGGAGACAACTCGAGGTACGACTTGGCCGTGCGAGCTCACGACGCAGCACAATCACCCGCAGCGGATATGCAATCCAACTTACGCACGAGGCGACGACCACGTCATTCCACCACCGGCAAGTTCTTACGACGACACCGCTGATGACGCGCCGCAAGCAGCACAACAACAACCACCAGCAGACACAATGCAAGCAAATACTGACACGCCAAACCAGCCACCACCAGCGAACAGCCTGCTTGCGACTCAGCAGTCCGGCGCGACACATGGGGCCAGAAACCCAATTCACCCGCCTCCACCTCGCCTCATGATCCCCGTTGCTTGCCCGCCGCCAGAAGCTGCAGAGGCTCAGCGCGGGCTCAATGAAATGCCCGTATCAGATCTAGCGCGTCATGCGTTTGCCACAAGACAGAGCCGCTCCCAAGCAATGACACCTCCGATGCAGCTCCACGACGGATCAACGGGGTCCGCTCCAATGCCTACGCGCGCGGCGCTTTTGGAGAAGCGTTGCGTCCGCGATGGTGATGTCCAAAGGTTCTTGGAATATCAGCCAGCGTTGACTCCAAATATATTGGAAGACAGGAGGAAGACGAGAGGAGGATGGGAGGAGGACGAAAGGAGGGCGGGGGCAGGATGGGAGGATCATGGGAGGAGTACAATCAAGCAGGCGCAAGCAAGCAAGCGGAAACAAGCAGGCGCAAACGAGCAATAATAAACAGACAAGAGCCAGCGATCAAATGCAAGCAAGCAATGGCAAGCAAAACCAAGCAAACGAGAGCAAGCACGCAAGAGCAACCAAACACGTGCCATTGGAAAAAGGGGGGTGCCAATGGAAATAAGGGGGGGGGGGGGGGGCCATTGGAAAAATTGGGCGGGGGGCTAAAGACGAATTAGTTATGATGAGCTAGGACCCCTACAGGGCAAGCCTGTTTGGATAGCACGTCGAGACGAAGCACAGCCGCCAGCGTCAATTCCAGCAAAACCTGCCAAAAGGACAGCGACGAGAAATACCCACCGCCATGGCAATGCCAACCACGCCCAGGCGTAAGTTCCCAGTTCTCGATTACCAGGCGCCACCCACGCTGAAACCCAGGTTCCCAACGCTACAGGCGGACGGCAGCGATTATTCGGGCTAGCAGATTCGCCCTGCATGCTGCAGCCTGTCTTGGTTACCAGCGGTGGGGCAGTATTGCTGCGGGGATTGCAGTTTGCGACCTCGCTGCGTCCGCGGCAGCAGCCGCCAGATATTTAATTGCCGCAGGACGAGGATTTCTGACGGCGCTCCCTCCTGCCCTTTCTGCTCCCTAGAATTCTGTTGCCAGGGCTCCTGCTGCTATCGTCCCGGCGTCCGCCGCTCGGTCGTTTGCCTGTCCTGCTTTTCGCGCCTCCCCCGCCCAGTCGGCCGCTGACGGCCGCTTCTTTCCCCCCCGTCCCAGGGGCAGTGTCTCGCTGGTGGTTGGTGAAGGCCGAGGCCCTGTATGTCCGCGCGGGGCTGCGCGGGACTTCGACGCCCCCGTCATTTGGTGTGTCGCCCCCCCGGCCGTTCGCTGCCTGCTGGCGAGCCGCGACAGGTGCGCCATCGACCCTTAGCAAAGTCAGCGTCTGACACTTACATCTTTCAGGCCTCCTTCTTGCAGGGAATGGCCCTATCTTGCCACGCAGGGCTTCGCAGATGCCAGTCCTCTCATACGTTGTAGGTATCATAGGCGTGCGCTGAGCTTCCTGTCAGCACCTGAGCATCCAGCCACCGTCGCAGCCTTGTTGTTTTTCCCCACCTCACTCGCAGGCTTTTGCTCAGCTTCAGGCCGTCTCTGCCACGTACTTCAGCTTTGATCTTTTCTCTTGCCAGTACTTTAGCCCATTCTATTACTCGGATTGGGTGGAGGTTGTGCTCGGATGTTTATCGGGGATGGGGTGATGGCCAGTTGGGCTACTTGCTGTTGTATTTCAGTATGCATATCAGCCTACTTGCACATGGTTGTTCCAGGCACTTACATTCCTCCCAGCACCTCGGCGTCCAGCCATCGTCGCAACCTCGTCAGTTCTCCCCCGCGCACTCACAGCTGCCATTATTCGACAGATCTCTCTGCTCAGCTTTACGCCGTTTCAGCAGCGTACTTCAGCTCTCATTCTTTTCGCTTGCTAGTACTCTAGCCTACGCTGTTAGTCGGATGGGGTGGAGATCGTGCTCGGGTGTTTATCGGGGATGGGGGATGGACGACTGGGCTACTTGCTGCTGTATTTGAGTATACATATCAGCCTACTTTCCATTGGCCGTCGTAGGCACTTAGATTCCTCTCAGCACCTCAGCATCCGGCCACCGTCACAGCCTTGCTAGTTCTCCTTCCGCACTCACAGCTGCCACTACTCGCCAGATCTCTCTGCTCGGCTTTACGCCGTTTCAGCAGCGTACTTCCGCTCTGATTTTTCCCGGCCAGCATTCCAGCCTATGCTCCTCACGCGGGAGTGCAGAGGATGAGGAGGAGGAGGAGGAGGAGGAGGAGGAGGAGGAGGAGGAGGAGGAGGAGGAGGAGGAGGAGGAGGAGGAGGAGGGAGGAGGAGGAGGAGGAGGAGGAGGAGGAGGAGGGTGGGGTGGAGGTTGGGGTGGGTTGATGGGGTGGGGGTCGGGGGCGGGAGGGTGCTCTCGCCGGGCCGCAGTCGCGCGTTTCTGCTTCTCGGCAAACAGCAGCACAAGCAGTTGTATTTCAGGCCCCCCCTGCCATAGGGCGTGGCCCCACAGCAGAGCACCACCCACCAAACCACCCCAACCCAACCCGAAGGCCTCAATTTGTCCTCCATTTCCAGTTGGGGGGGGTCGGGGAACATTGAAAAAACACATATGAACCCGTACCCCCCCCCACCCGAAATTCGAGTCTTCGGGTTGGGTTGGGGTTGTCTGGTAGGTAGTCAACAGAGAACAACCGTAAACGCGCATCAAAGCCTGTGCTGATACTTCTGACTGGCGCTGCCAAGGCCAGCCAGTACCACCTGGTCAGCCTGCGAGTGCCTTCAGTGCCAAGCCATGCCAGCGCATCCGTGATGCCAAGACTAGTGCACCTCATCCGGACCTCTATTTCTCTCATCCTTCTTATATAGGCATAGGCCTTCCTGGTGCAGCCCCAGCTTTCTACGATCCACTGCCCTCGGCCAGGGAGGGCTGGCCCAGTGGCGTGATCTGATAGGGAGTTGGCAGTGTGCGATGTTCCAACCACTTTGCCTGACTGGTGGGGAGGGGGTGGATGCGGGTGTGGTGGGTGATGTTGGTGGAGGAGGGTCGGCCATTCAAGTTTGACCTAGCATGGCCAGCCGGTACCGCCTGGCCAGCCTGCTATGATTTCCGTGCCTTCAGCCACGACAGCACATCCAGCATGCCAGCACCAGAGCACCTAATTCAAACCTGTTCCCCCTTTCCCTACTGTCTATCATGCGGTGAAGGTGCATCCCTCCACCGAGGAAGCAACGAGCGGGCCTACTGCTAGCCAGCGGGAGGCCTAACAAGGCCAGAGGGACATTTAAAATGCTGCTCTCTCTCTCTCTCTCTCTCTCTCTCTCTCTCTCTCTAGGCCAGCCAGTACCGACTTGGCCAGCTTATTCGTTACACTTAATATACATTCCCCATGCATTTTATTGTACAGCCCACTTCATCAAATACTCGTCCGCCATCTTTCAGACCCCCCTGGGCAGCATGGTGTGGCCCCACATCTTGCGGTACTGCTGAGTTACATTGTTTTCTCCCCAGCTTTGCATATGTATCCAACGTCGACTGTCTGCTTTTTTCCTTACCACTTTGTCCGCAAGTTGACTGTGAGGGCTTGCAGCTGGCTTAGCGGGGGGGTGACTATGTGGGAAGCAGGGAGCAAATTCCAGCGGCGGCGTCCACGATCTCGTCGCGGCGCCACTCACTGCGCTTCTTTCACTTTAGCGCTGCTCGCCTGGACCTGCAACGATTGGAAGGCAATCATGGGGAGGATCTGACGGGATGGGGGACTCTTACAGGCAACGCAGCGCGGCAGTCGCTTAGGGCTGCCCGCCCTCATTCTGCACGTGTATTTCGCCCTCTCATTTTTATCCTCATTGTCAGTACTGTCCTTCCTCGTTTTTTTTATTCTCATTGTCATCCTCATTTTATCCTCATTTTTATCCTCATTGTCATTTGTATCCTCATTTTTTATCATCTCATTTTTATCCTCATTTGTATCCTCATTGTCAGTACTGTCCTTCCTTGTCTCCTCGTCGGCTTCTCTCACGGTGCTGGTGGCGAGCGCTTGCTCTGCGCCTCGAGGGCCTCCGTCGTCCGCCTGTTCCGCACTTATATGTTTCTGCAGCGCTCGCCACTGCAGCCTACTTTGTCTTTGTGTCTTTCGCCTATCCTGGCGATTGTTTTCTTGTCTACGTTTCTGCATCACTGACGCCACAAGCTTGCGCTTCAGGTCCGATCATCGCAAAAACGGGCAGGAAGAGAAGGAGGAGGAGGAGGAGGAGGAGGGGCGAGGAGGAGGAAGAGGAGGAGGAGGAGGGCGAGGAGGAGGAGGAGGAGGAGGAGGAGGAGGAGGAGGAGGGAGGAGGAGGAGGGAGGAGGAGGAGGGAGGAGGCGGAGGGGGCGCGGGAGGAGGGGGAAGAGCAGGAGGAGGGAGACCTTTGTGAGCCCGAGCCGTAGCAGAGGTTCTGCAAGAGCCCTCCGCTTCGAGTCCCCCCTCCGCGCGCGTCCTGACAATCATTCTTTCTCGCTGCTCGGATCGCCCCCTTTGACAGACGGGCGCCCCGCGGGCCCGCGGTTCGGGCGGGCGCTTTGGTCCGAGAGGAGCTGCCCTCCACCCCCAGAGCTGCCACGACGGCAGCGCCGTGGAGTCGGGAGCAGGGAGGTCCCGAACGAGAGCGGCATTTTGCAGGGGGGCCGACCTCGGCCGGAGCAGCTCTCTTGCCTGCGCGGCTCTAGCCTCGTGGTCACGAGGCCCCGCGGAGGCCCGAGCGAAGGCCCCACGCGAAAGACGAGCACAGCCGGCCCTGATCAGTGGGTCGGCCCTGCCGGCTCGAGGGCACCCTCGTGCCCCGTGCCCCGCGACGCGTGCCCTCTCAACACTCCTGTGGCGACGTGGCCTTCGGGAGGGTCTTCGTGTCCTCCCGCATGTCCTCTCCAATCGAGTCCGACTGCAGCCGCCCTCCGTCCGTGTAACGTTTTTTTTTTTTTTTTTTTTTTTTTCCTCCTGTGAGTGAGCGTGCGCGGCGCCATGGCGAGAGCCCCCCGCTCGCCCTCCGCCCTCCGTGCCTGCAGCTGTGGAGAGACGCTCTCTCGGGCGCCAGCGGTCGGCCACGGCGGAGCAGCTCCAGGCGCCCCGCCCGCCCCGCCCTGACGGCACCCCTCGGTGGCGCGGCGGGGATGCGGCCTCCTCGCCCCGGTCGGGCTCTGCCTGACAGGTCTCGGAACAAAAGCAGCGAGCACTCCTGCCACATGCACCCCGTCAACGCCTCCCCCGCCCCCCCACGGTTCAGAGTTGGCGGTGGGCCTGATGCGTTGCACCTTGACCGCGGTCTCCCCCCGCGCGTGCCAACCCTGAGCTTGGGGGGCAGGGGGGGTGCTCACCAATCGTTTCCCTCGACCGAAGGGTTTCCGATTTGCTTTCTTGAGTGGCCAGTAGCTGCCAGGCCAGGCCCGCGGGAGTGCCCGCTCGCCCAGCCTCTCGGGTTGCTGGGCTGCCCGGCCTCCCTCGGGCTGCCTGGCCTCTCTCGCGTGGTCGAGTTGCCCGGGTTGCTCGGTTGCCTTGCCCAGTCGTCCCGTTGCCAAGCAATGCAGTGCAAAGTAATGCCACGCAAGGCATCGTAATGCCAAGCAGCGCAGATGCCATGCAATGCCGAGCAGTGTCGAGCACCGCCAAGCAATGCCAGGCAATGCCAAGCAGAGCAATGTAAGCAGGCAAGCAAGCAAGCAAGCAACGCCAAACAACGGTAAACAACGTCAATCAATACCAAACACCGCCAAGAAACACCAAGCAATGCCAATACTTGCCTAGCAATGCCAAGCAATGCCAAACAGCGCCAAGCAATGCCAAGCAACGCCAGGCAAAGCAGAGCAATGCAGAGCATTGTAGCGCCAAGCCAAGCAATGCAGTGGCAAGCAGTGCCGAGCAATGACCGACAATGCCAAGCAATGCCAAGCCAAGCAGTGCCGCTTACGAAGCGTTCCCGTAAGTGGGGTCGCGCCAGGGTCGAGGGCAATGAGGCAGGAGCCAGCATTGCGCCTCAGGCCTCCAGGCTCCTGCTCCGCCCCCCCGTACGGGGCGTGGTGCGTTGTGGTTCACCACACGTGCCACAGGAGCATTTGCTTGGCGTGGGGATGAGATGGCAAGGGACCGCGCTCTGATGGCAGCCCGCCGACAATGTGCCATTACAGTCAACCCGCATAATAGGATGAGCATCCTTCCCAATGGTACCCTTGCATCCTTGCCTCCTCGGTCCATCCTTGGCCACTTTCGTTGGCCGCGCTCCGCTCGAAAAGCTTCGAAATGGGCGTCCAAGGCACTTGCATCCTTATCGCGCGTCATAAATGATACGATACTGGCCGATTGTATCAGAGGAGTCACGTCTCGTGGTAGGCCATGGGTTACCCTTTGATCTCATGCTCGGTATTGCGTGCCGCGTTTTCCCAGGACGCTCTGGAGCAAGAACAGCCGCACGAAGTATTTGGAGGAGGAGCTCACGCCACCAGTGGAGTACGTCGGTAAGGCTGTGCGGGACTTCAAGGCGGGGGGCTGGCTGTGGGGGAGGGGCATGGGGGATTGCAAACTCCATGCCATCCATGCAGCGCGCCGCTCTTCGGACTGGTCGATCGGAGCTTCGTTCTAATCTCGTCCAGCGCGCCTCACATACTTGGCACTGGTAGTTTTCAGGCGCGGATCCTCGAATTATGCAGGGGCCTGCTGATATCTGGTACCACGTTCCTAGTGTTCGGGGGTATCGAAGACGCCCTCGCGAATCACCGCCGCCCCCGTGGCTATGTGGCCGAACGTTGAGGCCACACCTGCCAAGCTATCGGACCATGTGTTCCCCGAATCGGTTTGGAAAGCCTTCGGGGAACACGCGGGCATCTTGAAGGTCATCTTGGCCGTCTGGAGGGCATTTGGACCCTTTCGGGCCTTCTTGGAGGACGTCTTGGGTGGCTCTTGGGCCGTCTTGGAGGTCATCTTGAGCGTCTTGGAGGCCTCTTGGGCCGTCTTGGGGGCCTCTTGGGGCCGTCTTGGGCCTCTTGGGCGTTCTTTGGGGGCACTTGGGCCGTCTCGGGCCGTCGGAAGGCCGAACAAACAGCAAATGCCACAATCCTTCAAAACTCATGGGAAATCAATGATTTTGGCCTTTTCGGGCCTTCCTGGAGGCCCTCTTGGAGGCCTCTTGGGCTATCTTAGGGCCACCTTCGGCCGTGTTGGTGGGCTCCTGGCCCGTCTGACGCCGTCGGAAGCCGTGCGGGATCTGTCTGTCTGTCTGTCTGCCTGTGTCTGGGCCGACTTGGGGCCCTCTTGGAATGCTCCAGGGCCATCTTGGAGGCCATCTTGGACGTCTTAAAGGCCTCCTGCGCCGTCTTGGGGGCCTCTTGGGGCCGTCTTGGGGGCTTCTTGGCCCGTTCTGGGACCATCTTGGAGGCCTCTTGGGCGATCTTTGGGTGATCTTTGGGGGCTCTTGGGCCGTCTCGGGCCGTCGGAAGGCCGAAAAGAAGCAAAATCCTTCAAACATCTTAGGAACATCAGTGTTTGTTAATTTTTTCTGGCCTTCCTGGAGGTCCTCTTGGAGGCCTCTTGGGTCGTCTTGGGCCAGCTTCGAGCCAACTTCGGCCATCTTGGTGGGTTCCTGGCCCGTCTGACGCTGTCGGGAGCCGTCTTGGGGGCCTCTCTGAACCGGCTTGGGGCCCTCTTGGGGCGCTTCGGGGCCGTCTTGAAGGCCATCTTTGGCGTCTTGGAGGCCTCTTGGCCCGTCTTGGGGCCGTCTTGGGGCCGTCTTGAGGGCCTCTTGGGCCGTCATGGGGCCATCTTGGAGGCCTCGTGGGTGCTCTGGGGGCGATCTTGGGGGCCGCTTGGGCCGTCTTGGACGGCGGGAAGGCTTAAAAGAAGCATATGTAAAAATCTTTTCAAACCCATGGAAGATCAATGATTTTGACCTCTTGGGGCTCTCCTGGGGGACCTCTTGGCACCCTCTTGGGGCATCTTCAGGCCATCTTGGAGCCATCTTGGCCCGTTCTGAGGCTTCTTGGACGATTTAGATGGCATCTTGGACCCTCTTGGGCCGTCTTGGATGCCATCTTGGACCATCTTGGGCGAACTTGGAGGCCATCCTGGGCCATCTTGGACGTCTTGGAGGCCATCTTGGGCCAATTTGGGGCAACAAAGGCATCGACGGATGCGTTTCGGGACGCGCCGGAGCCCCAGGGGGAGTTCTTTTGGAAAAGAACCGCAACCAAAACCGAAACCCTTTAGCACGCCAGGCACCCCTGCGATGAATCGACAGGGGGCGGCGGACCCAGCCTGCGGCAAGTCCCGCCACCGTGCCAGCCCAGTACTCTCGGAGGCGGATGTTTGAGGGGCGACAGGAGGATGTAATCTGTGAGGAGGAGGGGGAGGAGGAGGAGGAGGAAGAGGAGGAGGAGGAGGAGGAGGAGGAGGAGGGAAGGAGGAGGAGGAGGAGGAGGAGGAGGAGGAGGAGGAGGAGGAGGAGGAAGAGGACGGCCGTCACATGTAACTCCTTGTGTCCTCACTACTTCTTCAAGAGCTCTCATGGAGCTCCCTTGGGCCGCCTTGGGGCTGTCCTGGGCTCCCGTGGGGCAGTCTCGGGGGTCCCTTGGGGCCCTCGTGGGCCGTCTTGGGGGCCCTCTTGGGCCATCTTGGAGCTCCCTTGGGCCGTCTGGGGGCCATCTTGGCCGTCTGGTGGGTCTCTGCGGGTCGTCGCGTGACTGTCTCGGGGCCGTCTGGCGCCGCCGAAGGGCCCTCCGAGGCCGTCTTCGGTCCCTCCAGCGGCCCTGTTGGCCCAGCCTTGGAGTCTGCTGGCGCGCCAGCGCAGGGCGCCTTCCATGCCGCGACGCCCCGTTTGACGACGTGGCGGGGTGCAGTCGCCCGCAAGCCTTCCCCCCCGCCTGGCTGACAGCCGACGGCACGAAGGATGTCCACAAAAGAGCCCCTCTCCGCAGACACCTGGGCAACGCCGCGAACAACATACCTTTGACACCTATCTCGGAGTAGGTGTTGCGTGGGGCCTGGCCCTTCAGCATCATCGGCTTATCCTTCAACCACGTGGTTGCTTCAGTCATGCTGTTCAGTGCATCCAAGCTTCCTATCACTGCTGTGATGTTTCAGGCGGATTTCCAAATCCTCGAGCCTTGAGCGCAACTTCTCTACCGATGCTGTGACGGGAGTCAGTTTCTGCCAGAGCAGCTCCGCAATGCTGAGCATCGTGACCTTCTCCTTCTGCTGCGACAGCCCGCCCTCCTGTACCTCCCCTAAGAGAACGGCCGCACGTACGGCGATGTAACACAATCCTACTCATCCTCTTCCACGCCAGCCTCCATGCGCTGGTAGCGACTGCCTGCAAGCAGAGGCGTGGAAGGCGAGGCAGGACCAGGAAAGGTGCGCGCAGCCTTCTCCGCCCTCATTTCCCCACACAGGGACTGATTCGACAGACTGCCAGCTGTAGTCCTTCCCACCTAGTTAGAGGGTTGGGGCATCACATCTTACAGCTCCTCGAGTCTCGTCGGGGAGCGGCTTCCCCACATCGCGACTGGCTCGCGAGGGTAGGAACCAGAAACACCTCGGCTTAGCCACGCTCGGGAGCACGTGAACGGGGTGTATGATGCGTGAAGGCAAAACAGAGTATTCCCGCAGATAAGTGGCACGTATGCTCTGGCTTTTGCCACGATCAGGTAGCGAGGGGCCAGGGCCAGGGCTAGGCCAGGGGAGGGGGGACGAACGACGACCGCCTCGAAAACAAAAGTCGAGTAGGGGATCGACTACAGAATCTATGTACCCCAGAATTGTGTGTTTCCCGTCGAGTCTACGCAGATTACGTCGAATGCTCCTGAGATCTGCGGAGTATATTCCATGAATTCTTTGTAGACCCGACGGGGGAATCAGTTCTGGACGCTCCGCGCATCCCCACCATCCCATCCAGAAGCAGATCGCCAGGCGAGTTGCCTTGAGCAGGGAGGTGCAGAAGAGGGCAGTGAAACAACGGCCTTGGAAGTGTTTTGCTCAGAGGTCTCTTGAAGCCGTCTCGGGTCTCTCTTGGGGTCCTCGCGGAGCCACTTGGGGCACTCTTGGGGCCCTCGTGGGGCTCTTTTGGGGGGTCAGGGACCCTCTTGGGGCTCTTTGGGGGGTCTGGGGGGCCTCTTGGGGCCGTCTTGGGCCCCATGGCTCCAAAAGAGGGGCGGGTAAATTCAGGTCCCCCCCCCTGGGAGTCTCAAACATGTATCTTGAGGCCCTTGGGGCGCTCTTGGGGCGTTCTTGGGCGCTCTTCGGGCCCTCTTGGTGCTCTCTTGGGTCCCTCTTGGGGCTCTCTTGGGCCGTCTTGGGGCCATCGTAAGGCCTCAATAGCCCCTCGGAAGCGACAAGGCGAGAACGCAAACACATTGTGTTTTCTCATTTGGTTTTGGAGCCCTATTGGTCTCTTTGGGGGGTCCTTGGAGAGCTTGGAGGGCCCTTGAAACCGTCTCGGGGCCGTCTTGAGGCCTCGTGGATGTTTGTCGGAGGCTATCTTGAGCCATCTTGAGGCATCTTGAGCAATCTTGGAGCCCATCGTGGGCTTTTTGAGACCCTCTTGGAGCCATCTCGGGCCATCTTGGGTGCTCTAACCCCTCCGTCCCCCCCCCTCCCAGACCCAGGGGAGGCGGTGGGAGGAGGGGTATTTTTCGCCCCCGAGCAGGGGAAGGAGGGGTTTTGGCGGCAGAGAGAAGACAAAGTTCGTTAAACCACGCATTATCTCTTATGGAAGAAAATCCCGGGGAGGCTCGTCCAAGGGAGGTTCTCTGGGTGTGTCTGTGTGTGTGTGTGTGTGTGTTTGCGTCCAGATCCCCGCTGGTTTATCCAAGGGACTGTCTGGGGTAGGCCGTCCTGTCGTCATCGAGCAGCATGGGCTGTCCGGGTTGTCCGGGGGGTTGTCCAGGTTTTTTACCTAACAGCTCTTGCTGATAGGTTTCTAGTGGTCTCAAAAGAGAGCATCATGACTCCTCAGGGGGGTCTGGGCGGGACCCGGACAGGCTGCCGCCGAAGCCGAAATCGCTTGGGACATCCTCGCAAAATCGCTCTTGGTGCTCCCAGAACTCCATTCCCGGGCCACATTTTGGATGCCCGGAGCCAACTGTAGGCCACTTCGTGCTCTTCGACTTCCCAGAACTCCATTCCCGGGCCACATTTTGGATGCCCGGAGCCAACTGTAGGCCACTTCGTGCTCTTCGATTTCCCAGAACTCCATTCCCGGGCCACATTTTGGATGCCCGGAGCCAACTGTAGGCCACTTCGTGCTCTTCAAGTTCCCAGAACTCCATTCCTGGGCATGATTTTGAATGCCCGGAGCCAACTGTAGGCCACTTCGTGTTCTTCTAGTTCCCAGAACTCCATTCCTGGGCCACATTTTGAATGCTGAGGCAGGCTGATGCTGCGGCCGAGGCAGGCTGAGGCTGAGGCAGGCTGAGGCTGAGGCCGAGGCTGAAGGCAGACTGAGGCTGAGGCTGAAGCAGCTGAGGCTGAGGCTGAGGAGGCTGAGGCTGAAGCAGGCTGATGCTGAGGCAGGCTGAGGCTGAGGCTGAGGCTGATGCAGGCTGAGGCTGAGGCAGGCTGAGGCTGAGGGAGGCTGAAGGCAGACTGAGGCTGAGGCTGAAGCAGGCTGAGGCTGAGGCTGAGGCAGGCTGAGGCTGAGGCAGGCTGAGGCTGAGGCTGAGGCTGAGGCAGGCTGAGGCTGAGGCTGTGACTGCGACTGCCGTTGCCGCTGCGACTGTCATCGCGAATGCGACTACGACTGCGAGAACAGCAGAATTCGACAACTGGATTTTCATCTGAATCTTCAGGGAATGCTTTCAGATATGCTTCTACACATCGCTGTTAGGTTGCTTTGCCGGGATAATTTTGGGTAGGATTATTTTTCCACCGACCACGGAACGCCCAGAGGGTTGGTGGGATTCTGAGTACATCGATTCTGTGGTCGATGCCCTGCTCGAAAAAGGCTCTGGGGCCAGGGGGAGCGAGGTGGCCGGAGCGAGGCCCAGGGGAGGGGGTAGGTGGAGGGGTCAAGGCCCCCCCTTCGCCTGCAAGCCGTCTCGCTCACTCCCACCCGCCATCCCAACTCATTAGTAAATCCGAGGGAGTGTCAGCATATTGCTTAGGAGCGCCACGCATGCCATGTGCGCCACGCATGCCAGGTGCACGAGGCACCCTGGAGGCCCAAGCGAGCCAGGCGCGCCAGGTGCGGAACGTGCTCCACGTTTAAGCAATATGCTGGCACCCCCGCCGTCCCTGTCAAAAACCTATGCAAAGTGGTCGCGGGGCGCCCGCGCATGCTCCAGATGTGGAGGCAAAGTGCATTCTGTATTGTTTTTGACTGGGGTGGTTGGCCTGCGCGCAGCGAGCAATGACGGCAACCCCGCCGTTCTTGTCAAAAACAACTGCAAAGTGGTCGCGGGGCGCCCGCGCATGCTCCAAATGTGGGGGCAAAATGCATTATGTATAGTTTTTTTTGACAGGGATGGTGGTGGTGTGGGGGGGGTGGTATGTCTCGGGTTGGCCCACAGTCGGGTGGGGGAGGGGGTGTATATCAATAGGGAACAGTGACAAACCCCTCCCATGAGCAGGGGGAAGGAGGGGTTTTGGCAGAGAGAAGACACAGTTCTTTAAATCACCTACGCGAGGGCTGGGGGGATTCTGGAGTACATCGATTCTGTGGTCGATCTCCTGCTCGAGAAACGGCTCCGGGGCCAGGGGGAGCGAGGCGGCCGTCTTGAGCAATCTTGAGCAATCTTGGAGGGCATCGTGGGCTCTCTGAGACCCTCTTGGAGCCATCTCGGGCCATCTTGGATGCTCTAACTCCTCCGTTCCCCCCCCCTCCCAGACCCAGGGGAGGGGGTGGGGGAAGGGTCAAGACCCTTTCCCCGCCCGCAAGCCGTCTCGCTCACTCCCACCCGCCCTCCCAACACATACGTAGCACCCGAGTCTGGCCCGAGCCTCAGCATATTCAGCAGTCGTCGTTGGATGGGCAGCTACTGGGGGGCAATCCGCCGCCGCCGCCGCCGCCGCCGCCGCCGCCGCCGCCGCTGCCGCCGCCGCCGCCGCCGCCGCCGCTGCCCGCCGCCGCCGCCGCCGCGCCGCCGCCGCCGCCGCGCCGCCAACTGCCGCCGCCGCCGCCGCTGCCGCCGCAGCCGCCGCCGCCGCCGCCGCCCCCGCCGCCGCCGCCGCCGCCGCAGCCGCCGCAGCCGCCGCCACCGCCGCCGCAGCCGCCGCAGCCGCCGCCGCCGCCAAGTGTACTCTGTATTGTTTTTTGACAGGGATGGGGGGGGGGGGGGCGCATCGGGTTGGCTGCGCATGTTCCGAATTTGGAGGCAGAGTGTGTTTTGTATTGTTTTTTTTACAAGGCATGGTGGGGGGGGGGGTCGTCATGGTCCCTGGTTGGCCCCCAGTCGCCTGGGGGAGGGGTGTTTATTAATAGGGAACAGTGATCAAGACTCCTACAAGGAGCAAGCCGTGTAGCTCACTCCCACCCGCCCTCCCAACACACAAGTAACACCGGGCCAAAGGACCAAAGGTTTGAACCCCCGAAGAGGCTTTGTCAAATACCAATGCAAAGGTCCCGACGGGACAATCGTAGTCCCGCTGCTGTTGCCGGGGCTGCTGGTGCTACTGCGGTTGTTGCTGGTGCCAGTGCTGCTGGTGTTCCCTCAGGGTCCTCTTCGGGACATGTTGCGGTGGTGTTTGGAGGTATTCGGGTCCTCTTGGGCCTTGGGTGGGTCTTCGGTTTGAGGGCACTTTTGAGGGTCTCCCGGATGCCCAGGAGAGCCTCTTGGGACCATCCTGGACGACCACCCGCGGCCAGAAGGCAGGTGGGATTTGCCGGCACTCCGGCCGTCCATGTAAAATATCAATACAAAGTGGTCGCGGGGCGGCCGCGCATGCACTGAATGTGGAGGTAGAGTGTGTTTTGTAGTGTTTCTTGACAGGGATGGTGGGGGGGTTGGCATTGCTGCGGGTTGGCCGCCGGCCGGGTGGGGGAGGGGGTGTTGATTAGTAGGGAACAGTGATTAAGAGACCCCGTAGATAGCAAGCCGTCTAGCTCACTCCCACCCACCCTTCCAACACATAAGTAACACAGGAGCCTGAGCATGTTCAGCGGTCGTCTTTGGATGGACAGCTATTGGGAACCAAAACCGACCCCATGTGCGCGACGCTGGGGCGAGGTGCGCCACGCGTGCCAGGCGCGCCACGCACGCCAGGCACCCCTGGGGCCCGAGCGTGCAAGGCACGCCTGGTGCGCCAGATTCGTCACGTGCTCCGCGTGCGCCGGGTGTGCCGCATACTCCAGCCGCGCCAGGTGCGCCACGTTCGGGGCACGTGCAGAGTGTGTCAGATGCGCCTGCGCACGTGACAACACACATCGAGACACATGTTGGCCCTCACCATCCTTGTCGAAAACCAATGCCCATCATTGTGTCTGGTAGGCCTGCGCATAGCAGGCCATACGCCACCACCCCCGCTGTCCAGTGGCAGCGCATGATCCAGATTTAGCTGCGAGGTGCATTTTGTATTGTTTTTCGTCAGGGATGGTAGCCCTGCGCACAGTAGGCAACATGCAGACACCCCCGCCGTCCCTGTCAAAAACAGTACAACGTGCTCGCGGGCCTCACGAGCATGACTCAAGACTTTGCCCCAAAGTGTACTTTGTATGGGTTTTAATCAGGAGTGGTGGGAGGGGGCCGCATCTGGTTGGCCGCGTATGCTCCACATGTGGAGGCAGAGTGCGTTCTATGTTGTTTTTTGACAGGGATGGTGGGTGGGGGAAGCATGGTTCCTGGTTGGCCGCCTGTCGCCTGGGGGAGGGGGTGCATAGAAGCTTCTCCCCGAGCAGGGGAAGGAGGGGTTTTGGCAGAGAGAAGACGAAGTTCATCAAACCACCTACGCCCAGATGGCTGGTGGGATTCTGGAGTAAATCGATTATGTGGTCGATCTCCTGCTGGGCTGTCTGGATCTCCTGCTGGTTTGTGTGTGTGTGTGTGAATCCCCTCTGGGTTGTCCAAGGGGCTGTCCGGGGTAGGCCGTCCTGTCGTCATCAAGCAGCGGGGGTTGTCCTGGTTGTCCGGGGGGTTGTCTGTTTTTTTTTGGGGGGGGGGGATCGGATAATTTTTCAATTGAACACAGAACGCCCAGAGGGCTAGTGGGATTCTGGAGTACATTGATTATGTAGTCGATTCCCTGCTCGAGAACGGCTCCGGGTCCAGGGGGAGCGATGTAGCCAGAGCGAGGGCGGGGGGCATGCCAAGGACGTGGGGGGCAATCGACGACCTCCACGAAGCCCAAAGGTTGCGAGATCCAGAACATGTTATATCTTGTGGAAGATAATCCCCTTGGCAGCGCTCGGACATGTGAAGTTTTTCTCGGCGAGAACCATCCAGGAGCATCCTGGATCATCCCACGAAACATGAGCGCACGAGACCGAACACGGGGAATGGACGTCCGAGCGATGGCAAGATCCGGGCGAGGCTTGTCCAACGGGGGTTGTCCGGTGGGTTTGTTGTCTGGATTTCCGCTGGGTTGTCCAATAGGGGTTGTTTGGGGTAGGTCGTCCTGTCGTCATGAATCGGCATGGGTCGTCCAGGTTGTCCAGGGAGTTGTTCGGGGATTTTCTTGATCGGATTTTTTTCCATCTAACCTAGTCGCTGGGCACGATGGCAGCACCGCACGAGACTTTGATCCAGGGCTCGGTGGCGGAGACGAAGGTTTTGGGGACGTGTCGGGAAGCAGCGTGGCTGTCTGGGGAGGGCCTGGGTCGGGCCGCCTCGAAGAACGGCATTCGGCAAGGTTGGGGCCACCTCGGGGCCAGGGCGGAGCGCGTCCTGGGGCCTCGGGATGCGGCCTGGGGTGTAGCAGTCCACCAGACCTGCGTCCAGGACGCTACTGGGCGGCTGCCTTTCCGGGGCAGCGCGGCCCTTGCCACAGTGGGGTCGGGGGAGTGCGCCAGCTGCAGCGCGCTGTCAGCGGGTACGTCGTCCGTCGCTGCGCGCTGAGTGACCCCCCGAAACCGTCGGGGCGCATTCGGGACGCGTTCCCTCCCCCGCGTGAGTGTTTCCTGTGGATCTCACACCTGTTTCGGTTTGGAATGGGAGCGGATGCAGCTGAGGCCAATGTGTACTCCCATTGCAGCCCTTCCTTTTTTACACTTTCCTTCTCCCTCAACACTCTCGTCTCATCCGAAAGCTTCAGTGTCCGCCAGACTGTATCAATGCCGACATTCATTTTCGCTTCTGTAGGGGATTGCCCGTGCCTGCTGGTTCGCCGTTGCTTGCAAGCATAATGGGGTCCAAAGCTGGTCAGCGATTCCGTGCTCGCGCCCAGGGGGAACGCGTACATGTACTCCAGATCGGCCTTGGAACATTTGGGACGTTCCTCAAGGCATGGCTTGCCGCTGCTCTTGTTGCGTTAGTGGCATCGTGTCCGTGACAGATTCAAGCATGCTCCCTTTCATCTCCTCCCCCTCCACCCTTCGCCTCCCCCTTCGCCCCCCCTCCTCCCCCTTCCTCTGCCTCCTTCCCCCCTCCCCTCTCCTCCTCTCCCTCCTCCTCCCCCTCCATTCCCTCCCCTCTTGTCCCCTCCTCTTTCGCTCCTCTCCTGCCATCTGCATTTCCCCCATTCTGTTTGCATTCCCGTTCTCAACTCATTGTAAGGCGGATGGTCTTATGGTTACGATTCTCTTCCTCTCCTTCTCCCGTTCTCCACTCATTGTAAGGCGGATGGTCTTATGGTTACGATTCTGCGGTGGTCTAAGTGGCCGTTTGTGCGTGCACGTGTGTATATGTACGGAGAAAAGTGTGTGTGTCTCTGTGTGTGTGTGTGTGTCTGTGTGTGTCTGTGTGTGTCTGTGTGTGTGTGTGTGTGTGTGTGTGTGTGTGTGTCTGTGTCTGTGTGTGTCTGTGTGTGTCTGTGTGTGTGTTTGTGTGTGTGTGTGTGTATGTGTGTGTCTGTGTGTGTGTGTCTGTGTGTGTGTCTGTGTGTGTCTGTGTGTGTCTGTGTGTGTGTGTGTGTGTGTGTGTGTGTGTGTGTGTGTGTGTCTGTGTCTGTGTGTGTCTGTGTGTGTCTGTGTGTGTGTGTGCGTGTGTGTGTGTGTGTGTGTGTGTGCGTGTGCGTGTGTGTGTGTGTGTGTGCGCGGATGCGCCGCACGTGCGGATCGGAGCAGATGCCTACGAGCGGACGACCAACCGCTGCACGCTTCGACCCCATGCAACGCACACCGGCTCAGTGCGTGAGGTGGCCAGCCACGGGGGCGAGACAGGACGGGCAGCGACACGGTGCGCTGGATGACTTGTGGCCGCAGCACGGCAGGGACAGACACCCGCTGCCCGGACGGAGGCAGCGACCCCCCGCCGCCACGACGCGCTGGCGCTCGACAGCTTCCTGGCCCCGTGCGGGCACGACCACGCCCTGGCTGGGAGCATGCCCGGGCGCGCTCCGGGCGCTCGCCATGGCGGATGCTCTCAGCACGAACGAAGTGGGTACAGAACAAATAGGTACTCCAGATTTCGTCATAAAAGGGAGGGGGTCTGGACCCTCCAAGACAAGCCATTTCAGACCTCCCCCGTGGGAGAACCCTCCAGAACATCGTCCCCAGACCCCCCCAGGCCCTCCAAGATAGCCTGGAAGAGACCCCCCCCCCGAAATGAGACCCCCCTCCCTTTCATTACGAAATCTGGAGTACAATGCCCAACAGCAGTTCCGGTTCATTTTGAACAGGACTCGCTGTCCGCGCCGCCGCGGCCTGTGTCCGTTGGAGACAAGCGGCCGCCCGCCCAACAGCGGCCGCTGTTGGTTTGGGATAACATTTGGTGTTGGGCATTGTGCCCATGTATTCCGTACCCTTTTCGGGCGTCCAAAGATGCGGATGGTACCCCAAGTTCTTCCTTCTCTTTTCCCGTTGCCGCTCATCCCGATCTGGGCGGGAGCCTGGGGCTGTACGAGGGTCAGTACTTCAGCAGAGTGCCCGGGAAGGAGCTACGTGGCCTGCTGGATCGATTTCCGCAGATGGGACCAGAGGCCAACGCCTACGTGCAGCTGGCAACACGCGATCATATTCGAAACAGACGCGACATCAATAAGGCAAACAACATCGGCAGCTGGTCGCTTGAGGAGAAGCATAACGTCCTACAATCATTCTGCCAATGTAGATGGGTCCCAGCGGGCGAGCAGCGTGTACACCAAATCTCTGGAGTACAGCGAGCCCGCGCAGACTTGGTGGCATACACGATTGGCACAAGGGGTAATCCCATTCCCACCGCGGCACGCTGGAGGACCCACATAGGTGAATCGGTGGTTGCACCCAGGGGCACGGATCCACGGAGACAAGAGACGCAATTGCTAGCCCCCCCCCTCCAAAGTGAAGTCGCTTGCAAGCCAGGAGCACGCGAGTTTTATCGCTACGTGCCACGGCAGCATCGCCCACCGATCGGCATCCGGAGCGGAGTGCGCCGCCCCACTGGCTCGTGTCACCGTTGTCTCCAGGACAAATCTACAAACTCAAGAGGCTGCGTGGACACCGTTTGCGGACGTGGTGAACCTTGACTGCCAGGGGTGTGGAGCTGGCCAATCAGGATGGGATTGGGTCCAGGCCAACGAGGAGCGCCAAAATCGTGTTCAGGAGGGGAGGAGGCAAGGTCCAAAACAACCTGAAGGAAGACAACAACGTGATCGTCCACCAGTTGACCGGAACGATGAGCAGCCACGGCAGAGGCTCCGCCGAACAGAGCCATCTAGGCGGAAGTCCTCGCAGGACGATGAGAATGCCTAGTCGAGGCTCGCGGCCCTCATCGAGTACCTCCAACGCAGCACCAACACGGATCGGGGCACAAATCACCGATCGAGCAGATTTGCAATTGCAGTCAAATATCCCGCTCTGTTCAACTCAGAACAGCTACGAGCTTTTATTTTGGCTGTCCAGTTGCAAGCGGAGTACGCGGAATACATCTCTACGGTCATGTTTCAAGTGGCTGTTCCTCGACTGCGAAGGCAGCGCGACAGGGACAGAACCCCGTGCCGTGCCAATCGGGGCCAGCCCAATCGGGGCCGCCGCTGATAGCCCATTTCGGGCTCGAGCCCATCGCGGTGCTGGAACTACGCGCGCCCGCCCACCTCCTACCCATGGCCCTTCCGATTCTGAAGGCTTCAGAAAATACCGTGCACCATGGCTGGCAAACGCGACCGTGCGTGCTCTGTGGCGCCGAAGCGTTTTAATGGCTGTCTGGGTGGACGGGCAGGTGGATTACTCCTTGTGGTTTTGGTGCCGATCAACCATTGGAGGTGCGTGTCCGTGGCGCTGCAGATCTTCCCCCCTTCCGAGCAATGGTTGCAAAGGTGAAGGACTTCGGTGTGCTCTGGAGGCGCGTTTACATGCTTTGCCTGCTGGGGGCCTTGATGGGCGTGCCCGCCTGACCGCGCCAACTCTCAGTATGGCGTGTCACAGCGGGTCATTGCCAAAGAGGTTGCGCACGTCAGATGGAATCAGTTCCTCGACGTTGCTGCCGGCGGTGCGCTGGTGAGACCGTGTGTGGGCTGTCGCCTTTCTTCGACGGCGGGCTGCAAGGACTGCTGGGTTATGTGGGGGGTCCCTCGCGAGGAGTGGGTGCCCGGACAGCGTGCTCCGCTCTGCGTCATGTGTAGTGCGGAAGAGGGGGAGTGCCTCTTCTGTCGTGGCCCGCTGTTTTTCCGCCCATGGCCCCCGCCCGTCTATGGACCGCTGAACATCTTTCCAGCATGGGGAAACGAAGCTGATAGAGAGTACGTGGACGACGTCGTGCCGCGGTCGGGTGCGTGAGCTTCCGCTGGGGCCTCGGCCTGGCTCGCACTTGCCCTGGGGAAGGTCGTGTCCTGAGGGCTTCAATTTGAGCGCGCCCATCCGCTGCAGGTGCAGAGTCGGCCGCGGGCGGCTTCTCCCGCCTCGCCGTCGCCATCTCTGCTCGCTCTTCCGCCCCTGCTCCCGCTCTCTCCCTTCGGTTGGAACCGCTTGGCTTGTTCTTTTGAAGAACCGTTGATCAGAGGCCAGCAACATATGTACACGTACGCGGTTAAGACCGCGGAAGGCGTACATGTACATATGTCGTTGCTCGCCCAGTTGTGTCTTTTGTCCGATAGCTTCGTTGGCGATGCCTGTTGAGCACCACCAGTGCGGCTCAGCCGCCCTTGGTGTCTTTGTCTTTTCTGCCCCGCCCGCGCGGCGCGCGGCGCCCTCCCGTGCGCCGCCCGGCGCGGTCCGCGCCTCTGCCGGCGGCGCCGCCCTGGGCGGCCTCCCGCCGTGAGCTCGGCCCCGCTGGCTCCTCCTCCTCCTCCTCCTCCTCCTCCTCCTCCTCCTCCCTCCTCCTCCCTCCTCCTCCTCCTCCTCCTCCCCCTCCTCCTCCCCCTCCTCCTCCTCCTCCTCCTCCTCCTCCTCCTCCTCCTCCTCCTCCTCCTCCTCCTCCTCCTCCTCCTCCTCCTCCTCGTCGCCTCGGCCCCGCTGGCACCTCGCAAGATCTGTTGCCTCAGTCAGTTGCCGGGGCTTCGGCTCGGTCTGCGGTCTGATCGCTTCTCTGTTGTGCCGTTGGCACGACCGCGCGTTTCCTCGCGCCGAGTCCGCGTCTCCGCTTTCTCATTTTTTTTGTTTCTGCCGTGACGGCGGTGGCGCCCGCAGGTCTCCGGGAGCATATCTCTGTGCACTGCCCACTCGTCGTTGTGCACTCGTGCCGCGCTTTCCCTAGTGTTTCTCCCAGGGCGCCCTCGAGGGCGCGAAGTTACTCGCGCTTCGTGCTTCGCGCTTCGCGGTTCGGCTCCGATTCCTTCTCATCCTCTTCTTCTCCCCTGGGAGGCGGCGTGAGACCGCGAAGTCATTCGCACTTCGCGCAGCGCGCAGCGCGAAGCGCGAATTTTGGGAGCCCTTGTCCTCTGGACGCGTTGTGGTCGTCTGCGCTTTCCCGTCCGTCCTCCACCCCCTGCCGCTGCTTTTCTCGATACCCTGTTGGTTCAGCACGCCAGCTATGATGGTGCTTTGCGCCTGCCTGGCTTCTCTCTGCACCGTATCTTCGGAGGGGGAAAAACACAGACATAATTAATCGTCGACTCCCCAGAAAATATAGGAAAATACGGGAAGTGGGGGGGAGACGAACCCCCAGGAAATATGGGAACATTTGGGGAATCCTGTTATTTGTGTGTATTTATTCGTGTGTCCTCGGGCCCCTTGACGTATCTGATTTTGGATCTTGCCATCCGATCGTAGTTTCTGTAGGAGGACTCTCGTGGCCTGGATCGTTCTCGTTTCGCAGCCGCTGGTTATTGCGGGCTGACGCGCAACCATGCGCGCGCGCGGAGTAGGGCTTTTCTCCTTCAAGTGGGTTTGATTTTGCGGGCGTCTTTTTTTGGGGGGGGGGGGGGGCAGGAAGCCCTGCCGTGAGTTTGCTGCATCGCGGCGGTCGAGGCACAGCCTGTCGGCCTTCGTGGGCGCCGTGGCAGTGGAGCCTGCAGGCCGCGGCGCGGGCTTTGCCTGCGGCGCGGTGCTGCGGATGGAGCTCGACGCGGTTCGGGGCGGTCCATGCCAGTTGACGGCTGCGCTGCAGGATCCGCCGCGGGTACCGCCGAGTACCTTTGCGGCATCGCGTGGGAACTTTTTTTCTGTGTGACTCGTTTCGGACATTTTCCCCACATGCTTAGTGGGACTCTTGCTTTCTCCCCACCCGCGTCTCACCCGCGTCTCTCCTCACCCTTCCTCCCCCTTCTCCCTCAGCCTGCCTCACCTCTCCTCGTCCACTCCTCCACGCTCATGCGCGCATGAGACACACGCACACAAGGCATGCGCACACGTGCACACGAACACTAGCCGCGCACACGCATCAGAGGCATACGCAGCACGACACAACACCTGGCATCCACATGCTACGCACGTCCACATACAGCCCCCCGCACTTATCATACATCAGCCACGCTGAGACACGCGTTCGCGTAGAGCCGCACACACACCACACATGCGCAAGACACACAAGACATAAGGCACGCATGCACACACACACACGCACTCGCACACACACACACACACACACCGTACAACGCTAGTGCGCGCATGGCGTGTGGATTGTATCGTACACCAAGACGTAGGCCACATGATGAGCATCCACATGATACGCACGACCAGATACGGCAGCACACGCAGCATACACATACACATGGGACGCCATATACAATACATACGTGTAGGATTCCCAGTGCATGGCAGGCGTGGCACGTTCCCGACACTAAAGGGGGTGCGCAGGAGGTGGTCCCTGAGCGTGGCGTCTATGCGGGCCATGGCGCACGGCACGGCAGGCGTGGCTTACTCTCGACGCCAGAGAGGGTGCGTAGGAGGCGTGATTTTTTCTCCACGCCACAGAGGGTGCGTAGGGGGTGGCCCCTCACCGCGGTCTGTATCCGTCGCAGGGTCGCGGGGCGGAAGGCGCGGCACTGTCTCCACACCACAGGGGTTGCGCAGGGCGTGGTCCCTGAGCGTGGTCTCTTTCCGTCCCGGGGTCGCGGGGCGCAGGGGGTGGCCCCCCTAACGCGGTCTCTCTCCGTCCCAGGGTCGCGGGGCGCGGCAGGCGTGGCGTTTTCTCCACACCATTGGGTTGCGCAGGGCGTGGTCCCTGAGCGTGGTCCCTGTCCCTCCCAGTCCCCGGGCGTGTCGGGCGCGGCATTTTCTTCACACCACAGGGGGGTGCGTAGGGGGTGGTCCCTCACCACGGTCTCCATCCGTCCCAGGGCCGCGGGGTTCGGCAGGTGCGGCATTTTGTCCACACCACAGGGGGTGCGTAGGGGGTGGTCCTTCTCCGTGGTCCCTATCCGCCCCAGCGTCGCGGGGCGCGGCAGGCATTCTCTCCACGCCACGGGGCGTGCGCAGGGGGCAGGTCTCGTGGCAGCATCCCAGTGTCTCTTCGGCGTTTCCTCGTTAGTGTTCGCACAGCGTGTCGGGCTCCCATGGCTTGACAGGCGTCACCACGGGTATCGGCGGGGCAGCGGCCGCCAGCATCACTTTCGTACGCTTCACTTCCGCTATCATCACGCCAACCACATCATAAGTACGTGGGGTTCCTTGGTAGCGTAATTTCGATTGCAGGGCCTCGGCCTCCCATCCGGCTGGGCAGCCGGCGCGGGTGGACTCTCCGCAGCTGTTGACACAAAGACAGGGGTGGTTAGGTTTCCCGCTCAGTTTACCTTTGTCGCCTTAGCCTTAGATTAGCTCCTTCCTGGTGCGATCGGTCTCGTTCGCAACTCAGGCTGGTAGGGTGCCTTGGCCATTCGCTACACTGTGCGCGTGCGAACCGAGGGCACAGTTATCATCCGCCCTGTACTTACCCCAGTGCAAGTTGTTTTGGGCTGTGTTGGGATCGTCGCCTGAGCTGGGTCCATGTCTGCGATTACGCTCTGATGCCCCTGACAGCTTTGTCCCCAGCGATTGCTGTGGGCCGAGCCCATCGGTCCTTCGTCGGAGTAAAAGTGAATGCTGCTCCGCCCTATCGCCTTTCTCTTTTTCTCTCCGTCCGTCCGTCTGCGCCCACTTCATCTTCACAGCTCAGCTCTGTCCCGGTCCTTCTCGGTTCTCAAGTTGTGCCTTTCTTCGTCCCTTTCGTTCTCGTTCCTGCACGGCCCCGCGCGCGCAATCTCTCCAGCCGGACATCGGCTGGATCCTCACGCTCCTCGAAGCCCCCATAGCAGACGGCTGCCCGCCCAGTGAGGAGGCGCCCGGGGGCCCCCGGTGGGAAGGAGGTGCTGGAAGGGGTAGAGGTGAGGAGTGGGAAAGGAGGGAGGGGAGGGGAGGGGAGGGGAGGGGAAGGGGGGGACGGGGAGGGCAGGGAGGGGGGAGGTAGAGAGGGGGGGAGTGGTGGGAGGAGGAGAGGGGAAGGAGGAAGGGAGGTGCCCACCATAGCGCGTGGTGAATCATCGCAACGGTTTTCATGACAATTGCCGTTTGCAGGTTCCTCTGACGAAGTTCCCCACGCCGAGGCCAGGCTGCTGCTACGGTGGAGCAGTTTTTCCTTAGCAGCGTTGTTTTTGTTGTTTCTTTCCGTCCGCCTGTGATGGAGCTACCTCGTGACTGGAATTTCAAGCTGGCTCAGCAGAAGAAACTCATCTGGCACCTTGGCCTCGTCTTCAGCGGGTTCGGAGTGCTTCTGGAGATCAACTCGAGTCCAGTTGCGGGGGGGGGGCGGGGGGGCCCGAGGACGTTGGGTCCGGCAGCGGGTGCGTGTCCCACAGGTCCCGTAGGTCCCACAGATTGTCTCACAGATCCGACTGGTCCCGCAGGTCCCACAAGTCCCACAGGTCCCACAGGGCTCGCAGGCCCCAGAGGTCCCACAGGTCCCACGCGTCGCATGGGCGCCACAGGTCCCGCAGGTCGTGCATGCCGCACAGGTCCCACATGTGCCACAGGTCCGACAGGTCCCGCCAATCTCGCAATTCCCATGGGCTGCCCCCCAGGTCCCGCAGGCCGCACAGGTCCCGTAAGTCCCACAGGTCGCGCAAGTCCACAGTCCCAACCTGCCCACATATCCCACATTTCCGACAGGTTTCAAATGCCCCACTTGGCCCCGCAGAGGCTCAACCTGTGTCACAGTTCCCGTATACCTCTAGGTTTTACAGGTTCCACAGATCTCACATATTCCGCATGCCTCAGATTGATCCCCAGGTCCCACAGGTCCATCAGGTCCTCGTGGTCCCACAGGTCGCGCTAGTCCATAACCCCCACTTGCCCACGCGTCCCACAGGTCCCGCAGGTCTCGCAGGCCCCACACGGTTCCCCAGGTCCCACATGTCCCATAGGTTCCACAGGCCGCATAAGTCCCACAGTTCCACCTGCCCCATAGGCCTCACACGTCCCACAGGTCTCGAGTGTCTCAAAGGTCGAGTAGGTCTCACAGGTCCCACAGGTGGCCTCACAGGTCTCACATGTCCCACAACGCCCGCAGGCCCCACAGGTCCCACACATTCCACGCGTCGCACGGCTGCCACAGGCCTCACAGGTCGTACAGGCCGCATAGGTCCGTCCAGGTCCCACAAGTCCCAAAGGTCCCACAGGTCCCACATGTCCCACAGGTTCCCCAGGCCCCACATGTCCCACAGTTCCCGCATGTCCCACAGATCTCACAAGTCCCACAGGCCACAGAGGTCCCCCAGGTTCCACAGGTCCCACAGGTGCCGTAGGTCCCACAGGTCGCCCAAATCCACAGTCCCCACCTGCTCGCACGCCCTACAGGCCACATGTTCCACAGCGCCACACGTTCCACGGGTTCCACAGGCCACATGTTCCACATGTCCTACAGGTCCACAGGTCCCACATGTCCGATTGGCCCCACAGGCCGACAGGTTCCACAGGTCCCACAGGCCAGAGGTTTCACATGTCCCACAGTTCTCACAGAGCCCGCAGGCCCCACAGGTTCCTCAGGTCCTCCATGTCCCACAGGTGCCACAGGTCCTACAGACCCCACGGGTCCTGGCAGGTCGCGCAAATTCACAGCCCCTGCCTGCCCGCAGGCGCCAAAGGTCTCACATGTCTCACAGGTCTCCTCACAGGTCCCACAGGCCACAGGTTCCACGTGTCCGACAGGTCCCACAAGTCCCGCAGGCCCTTCAGGTCCCACAGGTCCCACAGGTGCCACATAACCTACATGGCCAACATTTCCCACAGTTCCCACAGGTCCTGCAGCTTCCACATGTCCCACATGTCCACATGTCCCACAAGTCTCAAAGGGCCCACAGGCACCACAGGTCCCACGTCGCACGGGGGCCACAGGTCCCGTGGGCCGTACACGCCACACGTGTCACATGGTTCCCAAACGTCCCACATGCCCGAGAAGCTCCACAGGTCTCACATGCCCCACACGTCCCTTAGGTCCCACAGTTCCACCTGCCCACAGGTCCCACAGGTCCCACAGGTCCCGCAGGTCCCGCAGGTCCCACGGGTCCCACAGGGCCCACCGCAGGCCCCGCAGTCCCACTGGTCCCACGTGTCGTACGGACGCCGCAGGTCCTGCAGGTCGTACAGGCCGCACACAAGCCCCACAGGCCCGAGAGGCCCCATAGTTCACACAAGTCCCACAGGCCCGAGAGGCCCCACAGGTCCCACGGGTCTCGCCTGTTCCACGGGTCGCGCAGCCCTGACAGGTGTCCCAGGGGTCTTACAGAACCCCAGGCCCGACAGGGCGCACATGTCTCACGGGTTTCGCTGGTCTCCCAGGCCCCGCAGGTTTGACAGGTTGCGCGCGTCCCACAGGCCGCACGGGTCCCATAGGTCCCACAGGTCCCACAGGTCCCACAGTTCCCTCAGGCCCCACATGGCTCTACCAGTGCCCCAGGTCTTACGTGCCCCACTTTTCCCACAAGCCCCGCAAGCCCCACAGGTCCCAGAGGTCCCACCTGTCCCACATGCCCCACAGGTCGCGCGCGCAGGTCCCAGAGGTCCAACAGGTCTCACAGGTCCCGCAGGTCACACTGGTCCCACAATGTGACCCGTTGCTATCAGGGTGCTTTCTCCAACCTCCTGAAATAGTGCTCGTGAGCGATGCTCATTCAAAGACCGCGGCAATGGCGACGCACACTGGGGTCACGGCTTTCACCACGAAGCTGGACGTGAGCACGACGCTGATGGTTTCCAGACACCTGGCCGCTCAATTTTTTTCGATGCGTCGGCCCCAGAGGTCTGGACCACTTCCCTAGGGCCAATTTCTGGCCCTGACTTTTTTTTGACGCTCTCGAGGCCCGGCGAGGGCCCCTGGAGGCCAAAAACGGCGAAAATACGCTGCTGAATTTCTTTCGGAGCGCCAGATCTCTGGGTTCGTGGCAAGTGGGTTCGTAGCGTCTGAGCTTCTTAGGCTTCTTAGGGGCACCCTGGCTTCTTAGGAGCACCCTGGCTTCTAAGATCAGGCGATCGAAAACATGGATCAAGGGGGCGTGGAATAGCGACGGGCCCCGTTTCCACGGGACATCGCGGATTCCCGCCGCCCAGCGAGGCGGCACGGGCCGCATTTTGGGGAGGGCACCTCCCCCGATCCAAGGATTTGGCGACCGCGCGCTCAGTCCATGGATCGCTAATCTTAAGTCGGGCACGTTCCTCTACAGGAGGAAAATCCAAAAATATTCAAAACATAGTCTGGGGACGAGTTGTCGACCATTTTTTGACAATTTCTGAATATTTTTGGATCTTTTTATTGTTGTTCGCGCGACATCCGCCTGCTGGGGGACATGCCCGACCTAAGGCTAGTCCATCTCTGCGCGCCCCCCATTCGCAGAAGCCTCCCCCTCTCCCCCTGCCCGCCCTCTGCGCGCCGCCCCGCGCTTCTCCGGGCCCCTCGCGGGGGCCCGCCCAGCCCAAACCGGACCCCAGCCGGGCCTGGGGGTCCGCAGGAGGGGGGGGTAGGTGGACCCCTGGGGGGGGAGGGTCGACGTGGGCACGGCAAGAGTGGGCACGATGCCCAGCAGCAGCTCGGAGGGGAGGGAATCGGGGCCGGGGAATCGGGGGGGGGAATCCGGACGATCGGGGGGGAGGGACTCGGGACGGTCGAAATGGGTCTTGAGAGAAGGGGCACAAAGACCGACAGCAGAGCAGGTCTTGTTCATTCTGCACAGGACTCGCTGTCCGCGCCGCCGTCGACGCTGTTCTTGTAAGAAGAAAGGTCGACCACGCGCAGAGGGGGTTAGGGGGAAGGGGGGAAGGCTTCTTAGAAGGACCCCTGCTTCTTAGAAGGCGCGGGCCTTCTGTTCAGGTGGAAGGCCGGCGACTTCTACGAAGCAGTCTCCTCCTAGGCAGCAGAGATCGTGACGATCGAAATGGGTACGGAAAGAATGGGTACGATGCCTAGCAGCACTTCCTGTTCATTTTGCACAGGGCTCGCTGTCCGCGCCGCTGCGGACGTTGTTCTTCGAAGACAAAGAAGCCGCCTGCCCGACAGCGGCCGCTGTCGGTTTTGGACAACAGTTGTTGCCGGGCATTGTAACCCTTTTTTCCGTACCCCTTTCGGGCGTCCAAGAAAGAGGGGGGAGGGGGTGAGCGACTCGGGCTGGCCCCCGCCCCGCCCCAAGACGGGACCCCCCATGGGGGAGAGAGAGAGAGAAAGAGAGAGAGAGAGAGAGAGAGAGGGACCCAGAGATCCGACGCTCCGGAAAAATCGGAGCGGCGGGTTTTGGGCCGTTTTCGGCTTCAATGGGTCCTCGCAGGGCTTCGCGAGCGTCAAGAACCAACTCAGGGCCAAAAACTGGCCCTGGGGAAGTGGTCCAGACCTCCGGGGCCCACGCATCGAAAAATTTGGAGCGCGGGTTTGTGGCCGTTTTCAGCCTCCAGGGGCCCTCACCGGGCCTCGGGAGCGTCAGAAAACGTCTCAGGGCGATAAGTTGGCACTAGGGAAGTGGTCCAGACTTCTTGTGGCCCACGCATCGAACAATTACCCTGCGACGTACCCAATCCATCGCCACCAGTGGATGATATAAGGTTTGCCAACAATAGTGTGACAGAAACGCTGCAAGAGACGGAGCACGGCGGATCTCTATACCGAGCGAACTGTGCGTGGACGATGCGCAGAACAGATGTACAAAAGGCCAGGAGGCATTGGGCTGGGAAGGAGAAGCAAAAGGAAGACCTCGGGGTGGAAGAGCAATCACCGCGGCAGAAGCAGCGAGATGATGGAGCCATGGGCAAGAGAAGGTTACATAGGCGGAGACTCGACCAGACAGTCAATTGTCGTGTCTTCCATGCCGAAATGATCAACAACACCGGCGCGGCCAGCGTTCGGCGTTGCTGCAGCGCCTCGGAAAACGAAAAGCTCCCGTTGTTTGTGTGAGAGAAACGGTCAAGGCCCGACACGCCCGCCAGCCTTCAGGAGGGAAACAAACACACAAACACAATTAATCGTCGACCCCCAGGAAAACATTGAAACTATGGGAAGTGTGTGGGCGGGAAGACGAAAATGCAGAAACTATGGAAAACATAAGGAATCCTGGGATTTGTGTGTATTCATTTGTGTGTCCCTGCGCCCCTTCCAAGCCTTTCTGCTTCCTCCCTGCACCTCTCAGTGCGAGCACCTAGCGTGCGCAGGCGCGCCGCCAGCCCTCGAAAGTGGCCGCAGCTTCACACTTCGCAGCCCCCAACAGCCCTCGAACATTGCGACAGTTTCACAGTTCGCAGCCCCCCCAGTGATGGCGAGGTCCCGTTTGGGTCTGCGTGGGGCCCCACTGTGTTGGCTCCCCCAGTAGCCTTCGAGAGTGGCGACGGTTTCACAGATCGCAGCCCGCCCCAGGGATAGCGAGGTCCCGCTTGGGTCCGCCTGGGACCCCACTGTGCTGGCTCCCGCAGCAGCCCTCGAAAGTGGCGACAGTTTCACACTTCGCAGCCCCCCAGGGGATGGCGAGGTCCCGTTTGGGGCCCCACTGTGCTGGCCCCTGCAGCAGCCCTCGAGAGTGGCGACAGCTTCACACTTCGCAGCCCCCCAGGGGATGGCGAGGTCCCGTTTGGGCCTGCGTGGGACCCCTTTGTGCTGGCCCCCCCAGCAGCCCTGGAACATGGCGGCAGTTTCTCGGTTCGCAGCCCCCAAGAGGGGTGCGAGGGAAGAGAACCGAGAGGAGAGCGGGGGGGGGTCGGGAGGAAAAGGAGAAGGAAAAGGGAGTCGGCACACCAATGCTTGATTCAAAACGAGAACTGAACCAAAGGAGGGTGGGGACATTTGAGCGGCCGGATGTCTGGTGAGAGAGAGAGAGAGAGAGCTATATATATATACATATAGGGATATCTCTCTCTATATATATAGAGAGAGAGAGAGAGAGAGAGAGAGAGAGAGAGACAGAGAGAAAGAGAGAGAGAGAGAACTAAAGAGAGAGGAGGAGGGAGGAGGGGAAGGGACAGCGGGACGAGGCGAGCAGAGGAGGGGAGCCGGGAACGAGGGGGGCGGGGACGAGGGAGGGGGGTCAATGGGGGCGTGAGGCCTGGCCAGGAGCCTGCTAAGAGAAAAGAAAAAGGGGCTTCGTCTCTCGATCGCTCGCATCGCCTTGCGCCACACACGCACACACGCGCACACACATACAATTTTTGCGTCGGCGGCTGGGCAGAGGGCGACTGCTCTGGCGATCAGGCATCAGGGGGGCGCACAATATGCAAATTCGGCCGCAATGCACGTATGAGGAGGAGGAGACCCTGGCGCGACGGGGAGAGGGTAAGCCGGGCCCGCTCGGGCAAGTCAAAGCACACACACACACACACCGACCGAGCGAGGCCAGAGAAGGCGACCCCAGGGCCATGGCCGCGACAGCGGTGGATCACCATACCAGTGGTGCCGCACGATGCGTTCGAGGCATGCCGGCCTCTCTGGGGCCGCCGAAGCTGGTCGATGCCCGCCCGGGTCGACGGTCGCCTTCTCAATGGGCACGGGCCACGGGAGGCCGGGCAGGGGAGACCCATCTTCCAGGGGCTCCGCCCAGGGGGAGGCAGCGAGCCGATCGAGAAACCGGCCCCGGAAGGAGGGCCCCTCGTGTCGAGGCGGCAGGAGAGCAGGCACGGCGTGCGCCCAAGCCGCTTTCGGAGCATGCGCTGAATCCACCAATCCTCGGCCACGCGCAGAAGGGGGGGGAGGGGGGAGGGTTTCTCAGAAGCGCCTCTGCTTCTCAGGAGGCGCGGGCCTTCTCTATATAGATGCAAGGTCGGCGCCTTCTCAGAGGCAGCCACTTTCCAAGAAGCCCTCCCCCCTCCCCATACACACCCCCTTGTGCGCGCCGCCAGGATCCCGCCGTGCCACTGATCTCGGCCTCCCAGAGGGGGTCCGAGCAGCTCGGGTCGGAGGGCCGCGCCGCATCGTCGATGCATCGCCGATGTGGCTCGGTGTGGCGCCCGACTGTCTCCACGCCGACGGCGCCGAGGCGTCGCCGAGGCATCGCCGATGCGTCGCCGATGCAGCGCCGATGCATCGCCGATGCCTCGGTGGTGCGGAGGCGCTCCTCCGCCCCCATCCGCTCGGACCCCATCTAGGAGGCCCATCTTATAAGAGAGGGAGGAGGAGGAGGAGGAGGAGGAGGGGGAGGAGGAGGAGGAGGAGGAGGAGGGGGAGGAGGAGGAGGAGGAGGAGGAGGAGGAGGAGGAGGAGGAGGAGGAGGAGGAGGAGAACCCCCCACGATGGTATCCCGTCAGCCCACCGCCAGGGGGGCCGCTTACCCCCCTGCCGCCGCGGCCGCAGGTGCCGTCGCGCTCTCGGGAGCCCCTCGGGGGCCTCGCTCAGGAACATCTCAGCGTCACGCTATCATCGCGAGCAACATAACCCCTGACCATAAGAACACGATGAAGACGTGGCCAATTGATCTGGGCGGCTTGGCCTGATACATCTGCAGAAAAGACCTCCTATCCGTTATTCTCCTGGCCCTCCTAATTTAGGTCGCCTCTCAAAGGGTTCGGGGTCCTTCTATGAGCAATCATGCTTTCAGCGTGCTTCTTTTGGGTCGCGTTGCTTTGTGCATCGGCATCTTTGGCTTCGGCGCCCTGACAGGAGGCCATGGCGCTCAGCGATCCGCCGAGCTTGGGGCCACCAGGAGGGGGATACGAGGAGGGGCAAACCTTCGTCTACTGAGTTATAGGGACCGGAGTCAGAACCCAAGGCAACGCCATTGGGCTGGCAGGTTTTGTAACAAAAATATCGCAGGGGCTACGTATTGTATGGCTGTATGGCGTGTGTGTGTGTATATATGTATATATATATGTATGTATGTATGTATGTATGCATGCATACATGCATGCATGCATGAAGGCATGTATGTATGTATGCATGCATGCATGCATGCATGCATGTATGTATGCATGCATGTATGTATGTATGCATGCATGCATGCATGCATGCATGCATGTATGGGTGTATGTATGTATGTAATGTATGTATGTATGGGTGCATGCATGCATGTATGCATGCATGCATGCATTCATGAGTGTATGTAAGTATGTATATATGTATGTATGCATGCATGTATGTATGTATGCATGCATGTATGTATGTATGTATGTATGTATGTATGTATGTATGTATGTATGTATGTATGTATGTATGTATGTATGTATGTATATATATGCATGTGTATTGATGGATGCATGCATGCATGCATGACTGAATGTATGTACTTATGTATGCATGCATGTATGCATGCATGTATGTATGTATGCATGCATGCATGCATGTATGTATGCATGTACGCATGTACGCATGCATGTATGTATGTATATATGCATGCATGCATACATGCATGCATGCATGCATGCATGTATGTATATATGTATGTATGTATGTATGTATGTATGTATGTATGTATGTATGTATGTATGTACGTATGTATATCTATATATAAGCGCATGTCCCAGTCCCAAACCGTGATGGATGGGGGAGGGTGATGGGGATGGAGCGAGTGGGGCAGCCATTAAACGACACGTCGAGTCATCGTCGTCTGCGCAGGCTTTTTCAGCATGAAACGCGTTTTTACCCTGAGGCCGCTGGTGTGCCGCAGTACCTCTGGACTGTTGCGCTGTGCTCAGTATAGCTGGCGCCGACTTGGACCATTCTGGCCCTGCAAGGATGAACATTTTAGGAGGACAGTTGTACGAGGAATGGATTGGACGGGGCTGGGTGGACAGGGCGCGTGGATAAGCTCCTCCCGCGTCTGGCGCGAGGACCTGCGCGGCATCGGGGTTGACTGCCTGGAGGATGCTCTCGCGCCCTGCCTCGCCTTCCTCAGCTGGGGGGATCCGCTTGGAAAACGAGGTGCGAGAACAATGATGTAGGGCGATGGTGATGATGGTGATGGTTATGATGATGATGATGATGATGATGATGATGATGATGATGAGGATGATGATGATGATGATGATGATGACGATGATGATGATGATGATGATGATGATGATGATGATGATGATGATGATGATGATGGTGCTGATCATGATAATGCTGATGATGATGGTACTGCTGCTGCTGATGATGATGTTATGGTGATGATGCTGCTACTGATGATGATGTGGTGATGGGGAGGATGACGAGGATCATTCTGATGACTATAGCCGTGTATTGATAAGCACGATGGTGCTGATGACGATGGCAACGAGTACGATAAGCACAATATGTGGTGGTTGGAATGGTGATGGTGGTGTGACGGATTTTGTGTGGCAGTGACTAATGAAATTTATGATTGTAGTGCGCATGTCGATGATAGTGTTGATAACGATACGAGGCGGATTAACAATAGTCGGTGTACGGGGGTAAAGAGTGACCATGATGATGGTGAAGGTTGTGACGGCTGTGCTGCTGATGTTGCTGCTGAGGATGATGATGATGATGGTGGCGATGATGACGATGATGATGAGGATAAGGATGATGATGCTGACGGTGATGATGATGATGCTGATGATGATGATGATGATGGTGCTGATGGTGGCGATGAAGACGATGCTGATGCTGATGATTACGGTGACAGCGCTGATGATCATGCTGATGATCGCGACGACGATGATGATGATGACGATGATAACGATGATGCTGATGATGATGACGACGGTGATGATGCTGCTGCTGATGATGATGGTGGTGATGATGCTGACGATACTGATGATGGTGATGATGTGGATGATGTTGATGATGCTGATGATGATGTTGATGCTGATGACGATGATGATGATGATGATGATGATGATGATGATGCTACCGCTTACGATGCTCGTGCTGATGCTGCCAATGTGATGATGATGATGATGTTGTTGCTGATGATGCTGCTGCTGATGATGATGATGACGATGATGACGCTGCTGATGATGCTGATGATGATGGTGGTGGTGGTGATGATGATGCTGCTGATGATGATAGTGGTGGTGGTGGTGATGATGCTGATGGTGGTGATGACGATGCTGGTTATCACGATGACGATGACGATGCCGGTGATGCTGATGCTGCTGCTGATGATGCTGATTCTGATGGTGATGATGATGATGCTAATGGCGGTGGTGATGATGCTGCTGCTGATGATGATGATGCTGATGATGATGAGGAGGATGATGATGATGCTGATGATGACATGATGATGAGGAGGATGGCGATGATGATGGTGATTCTGATTGTGATGATCCTGCTGATAATGATGATGAGGATGCATAATATGATGATGATGGTGATGATGATTGTGATGATGATGATGATGATGATGGTGGTGGTGGTGATGATGATGATGATGATGATGGTGATGGTTGCGGTCATGGTTGTGAGGGTGGCGGTGATGATGATAATGATGATAATGATGAGGATGGGGATAAGGATGAGGAGAAGGATTAGGAAGAAGAGGAGGAGGAGGAGGAATACTCGGAGGATTATGATGAACACGGTGATGAGCGGGAGACATAGTGTTAGAAGGAACGGGTGCTTGTACAGGAATCCCAAGTGGGGCCGCAAGCCGTGTCAGGAGGGCCCAGGCGAGATTAGGATGGTCCAGGAAGCTTTAACATATCCCTAGATTGTCCAGGAGGCCTCAGTTGAGGGAGGTGAGGAGGAGTCGAACGCGGAGAAGGTCTCGCGGTAGAAAGCGTGGGATCCGGGTCATTGAGCATAGTGATTCCCAACCCTCTTGTGTTGGGTTCTCGTTTTGAAAAAGAGCATTGTGGCCTCCACCTTCTCTCGTCGCGCCTTTCCCGTTTCCTCCTTCCTTCTGCGCTGCTCCCTGGGTGGCTGTGGACTGCCCAGCTGTCGCCGCTTTCGTGGGCTGCTGCGAGGTCCAGCGGAGTCTGGAGCCACGGGCACCCAGACGAGACCTCGCTGCTCCCTGGGTGGCTGCGAACTGCGCAACTGTCACGACCTTGTGGGCTGGGAGGTCCAGCGGAGTTGGGGGCCACGCGCACCCAGACGAGATCTTGCTGCTCCCTGGGTGGCTGCGGACAGCGCAATCGTCGCCAACTTCGTGGGCTCCTGGGAGGTCCAGCGGAGTTGGGGACCACGCCGATCCAGCCGAGACCTCGCGGCTCCCTGGGTGGCTGCGGACAGCGCAATCGTCGCCACCTTCGTGGGCTCTTCGGAGGCACGGCGTAGATGAGGGCTGCGCAGATCGTGCATATCTGCTGATGAGTTTTTTTTGCATTGAGCGTTCATGCTCATATTCGCCTCGCTTGGACAAGTGGATTGGTACGCCTCGGTTGCTTCTGTACTTCTCGTGCTTCTAGGTTGGCCTTGTGTAGTCTGGAGCCGAACGTTCGTGGCTTATGGGCTTCTACCCCCCGGTACTGCAGCATCTTGTTCCGTTTTGGTGTCGTGTGTTTCCGCGCCGGTCGTTTCCTGATGCAGGCGTACAGTTTTCTGAAGTGTGGCTGTGGCCGAGGGTAGGGGGGTGCGGGTATTGGGGTAGGGGCCTATCCTGGTGGCTATTCGCACCCCCCGCGACCAGTCTTACACGGGTTTCAATCTTTCAAGCGGCCCTGGGCCAGGCGTTTCTGCTGGTGGACCGCATTATGTCATGCAGTTATTTGGCCTCCCCTCGCCGTCTCTCACCGCCCGTTTGTCCGAGCTCGCGAGGAGTCGTGCGGCCCGCAGGAGCAGCTGGCGGAGGCAAGGCCGACGTGTTCAGGCGCAGCTGCGCGCAGTCGCAGCGGCTCGTCGGAATGGGGTGTACGAAGAGTGCGCAGAGGACGGTGGCAAAGGGGGTGGGAATCGGGGTGTGGAGGAGGCGGCGGAGGAGGAGAAGGCGGACCAGATGGAGGAGGCCAAGGGGGAGGAGGTTGAGGAATAGTAATAATAACAACAAACAAACGAACAAACATGCGACTACTACTACTACTACTACTACTACTATTACTACTACTACTACTACTACTATTACTACTACTACTACTACTACTACTACTACTACTACTACTACTACTACTAGTACTA